TAAATATTTATTCTAAAGGTAATTTCGGTTTTGCACTGAAGACAATCTGCTTGAGGTAGTTAATGAATAATGTTTTAAATAATTTCATTATGGTTCCTACTGCAACCTCCGAACCAAAAACAAATGCTTAAAACTATTCTGAGTTATAGTGATAAGACCTTCTTAAATGTATGTTTCAAAAGCTTGGTTATTACAGAAAACTATTTCTACGGTCTTTTATATAGGTATGCACACTTCCCCCACGTTTTATATAAGTTTGCAACAGTGTTTTAAGAAGATTGAATTAATTTACAAATACTTAATTTTACTCCAAATTTTTTAAAATATTGCATCAAAACTAATTTAAATCCAGTTAAATCTCTCAGCGGATTGCACACAACTAAAGGCCAGAGCTTCCCAGTTCACACAGGAAAAAAACTGATCAAGTGGGGAAGAGGGAGTTCAAATATTGATAAATGACCCGATTTAGCTGGAGGAGTAAACTTTTTGAGTGGCCACATGTGCGGTTTGATTTATGAACGCATCGGCAAGGAGTTGAGGTTCATTAAGCCCTTCCTGATAAATGCGATAGATGTCAAATTTGCATGGAGCTGGCAAAATGTTCCGGTACACATCGAGTACATCCATTTGAACCCATCTGAGCCAGCCACTTTGTAATTATAATGGCGGAGCGCCCCAGAAACCCGCATTGCAATATATGCTTTCCCCCGAAAAAAAACATAAAACCCTAAAAGCCGAAAAAGGATGGATATAGAGAGATAATGGAGGAGGGAGAAAATGCTGTTTAAACGGATGTCCTAAATGTCTGCCCGGATGGGCAAAGCTCCGCACTTTCGGCCTGACAGTCATTTCCGTTTGGAAGTTTTTCATTACTTCCCATGGAGATTTTTCGGAAAATGGTAGTGGGGGTGAGGGACTGATGAGAACCTGTTGCTCGGTTACGGATTTATACCATCGTAAAATATGCCATTTGAATCTTAGAATTTAATTTTAATGTCGCAGAGGCTGTGGTAAAAGGATGCAAATGGAGTGGGAAGTTGTGTGAATTTAGGTTAGGCATTTACAGATAGAGATGCTAAATACTTGTGAGTGATATTTACAAGTGTTTATGAAAAATATATTAAAAATCGTTTAGTTTACTATTTGTGCATTTGGGTAAAGTATACCTGCTTTCAATAAAAACAATGCTGTGGAAGTGTTGATATTATAGTTTCAAGCAAACTCGAAGTTAAATTTTGAGTAATATTTTTTCATTTGGTCGCCTTAAGGTATGCAATGATTTTTACAATTTGTTGAATGCAACGTTCTCAATGGTTTTTATTAAGATTAAAATTAAAATGTACTGCAATTTTGAATATTACAAACAAACTTTCAAATTATCTCCATTTTTAAAGTGATCTATAATCTCGTATCCAACGCAAAATCTGAAATCCTTCACAGAATCCGTTGGAGCAAACACACCACCCCGAAATCCGCCACACCTCCTTACACACACACAAGCACTCACACCCGAATTGGCATTAGTGTGAGTGTTCGTCCATTTTCTTTTCTAGCGGAAGTTGTCTGTGTTAATGGAATTACATGAATTCCAACTCTGAACCGCAGAGTAAAAGCGAGAATACACTGGCAGGCGACATTTCCGCAAATGCATGGCCCATAAACTTTGACGGAGGGGAGAGAAGAGGGGTTAAAGTTCTTGCCAAAACAAAGGAGCGACAGAGAGGTCCAAGGGGGAGAGACAGAGACAGGGAGCTGGATCTGACGACCGACTTTTTATCGCATTAAAGTCGCTGCAACATAAACATAATCCACTTTTGGATTTCCGCTGGCAAAACGAAATCGAAACAAATGTGTCGAGTAATTGAGTTCTTTTCCGCTTTTTACATTTTGCTTTAATGCAATTTCAACAGCTATAAACGAGCACACAACCAACGTTTATTTAAAAGGACAAATACATATGTTTCAATTGTACATATCCCAGCTAGATAATTTTACTCGCTCATTCTTGTTCATTTTATATTGGCCAAGTCTAGTATTTGTAACATTTTTGTAGACATTTTTTGTGTCGCTGTTTTGTTATAACCCCTAACTTTAGAAGGTTTTATTTAACTATTATATTACTACTCGCTTCTAATTCCAAATCATTAATAATTAATTAATTATAATTATAGACCCCCTCACAAAAAACGTGTTAAGTTGTAATTTTTGTAAAATCTCATTTTTATACTGTTGAACTTAATTAACGTTTTGTCTTTTTAGTTTTCAACACTACTTGTTCTACGAACCAGTGTGATATTGCAGGTAGGTGGCAATACCCATTTCTTCAACAAAAAAAAATTTGACGTTTGTTTTTTCCCTCTATACATTTTGAATCATAATTTACGTTTTTTGACCAATATAAATCAAAACAATTGTTGTCCTTTTTTTATTGGAAAGTACTGCTTAAAATGGGTGAGAAATGCGATATCTTTACAGTCTCCATTTATGACTCCTTACGTTAATTTCACCATTTTTTACCGCCAGCGAATAAAGAAAACAAGCAGAAATTCGGGAAACACTGTTCTCAGCGGACGGATCACATCCCTCTAATCATCCCTAATAACTCGGTGGTCACGGCATATGCCATAGGTCGCCAGAGTTCGGATGCCGTTCTGGCAAAGATTGACATTAAGGAACTGATAGGAAGTGGGTCCTTTGGACGGGTATACAAAGCCCGATTGGACGACTCTGAGGAGTTGGTGGCCGTGAAGCAGACCATTTACAATCCGAAGTTCTGCCAGCGGGAAGCAGAAATAATGGGGAGGCTGATGGACCACAACAACATCATTCGGCTCATCATGCACTCGTGCGTGACCATGGGAGTTCCCCCAATGAGTTACATAATGCTGATTATGGAGTACATGCCGATGACCCTGCTGGACTATTTAGCCCGCGGAGAAGCTCATCTATGTGTGCATACTATCGTATCAGATCTTTAGGGGATTTGGTTATCTCTACTCCTTGGGCATCTGCCATGGGGGCATCAAGCCCAAGAACCTGCTGATGGACAACCAGAAGATGAGTGACTTCGGCAGCGCCAAAATCCTGGTTCCCAATGACCCCAGCCTGAGTTACATTTGCTCCAGGCTGTATCGTGCTCCCGAGCTCTTCGCCAAGTATGAACTCTATGGCTGCGCCGTTGACATATGGAGTGCTGGCTGCGTTCTGGCGGAGCTACTCAAAGGATCCCCCCTCTTTGCGAGCCATAAGCACGATCGTAGGCAGCTAAGGTTTATCGTCAATCTGCTGGGTGCCGATGGCTTGGAACGGGCTCCTGAAGTCCTTTCAAAGTGTGGGGACTTCCAGCGTCCTAGGACCAGTCGGCCTAGCTGGGACCTGCTTACGAATGTGGCTGTGCCGTAAGACCTGTCGGATCTGCTGAATTCCTGTTTGGTGTACGAGTCCTCTGCTAGAATACCGCCAATGGTGGCGTAAGGTCACTGCTCCTACGATGAACTGCGCATCATGGAGTCACTGGGGCTGCGCATGCCCAATCACTATCTGCTGCCGCCTCTGTTCAACTTTACCGGCCAGGAGTTGGGTACAGATCCAAAGCTTTGGATAATGCTGTCACCCCTCCATTTATCTCAGGCAGAGGAAGAGTTGCCTGCCGTAGCAGCCTTTGAAGATGTATTGGAAATATCAGGTCATGCAGACTTATATTAATAAACTTCGCAGAGTTCCTTTTGGAAGGTCTTAGCCTGTAACTTAAAATCGTATCTTACCTAAAGTACTAGAATCTGTATGTAAAATGTATAATAATTTCCGTGGTCTCGACTTTTATGCGGTCAGACAGACGGATATGTTGAAACTATTTCGGCTAGAGATCCTTTTTAAGAATAAACAGGGTGTAATTAATTACAGGGTGTAAGCATGTTATACAATATTTTATACTTCGACTTACTCGTAGCACAAAAAACAATTTTTTTATTGATAAGATATTCAAATAATTTAATACTTAGTACTTACCATTATATTTCAGGGATCGTTACTCTTGACTCCTGAAATAAACTATTTTTAATATGTATATACTTACTATGCATATAAAATAAATTACAAAATGTAAAAGAAATAATAAGTTTCAATCTTATATGGAAAAATGTTTTTTTAATATTTGGACCCGCAGTGCTACGGCGGTACGGGTTAAATTGACCAAAACTTAAGTTACTAAGAGAAAGGTTAACAACTATTCAAAATGGCGATGTGCATTTAGATGTTGCTTTGGTTACTATTTAATAGTAAAACTACCACACAATAGTAGGATGTTGAATTCAATTTTAAGTTCAGCTATACGATTTTTACAAATGAATAGTGCTAGCATCAGGGCTACAAACAACTCCGGAATTGAACCACTTTAGGCACTAACTTTTAGACGATAGAAGCTAAAGTTTTAACCGGAGCGATAAATTATTTTGCTAATGAACCAGACAGTGAGCATCACCAGGACTTTGTTGAGTTTTTAGAACCAATTTTGTAAAAAATCCGTTTTTAAAAAATTTTGTACCAATTTAAAATTAGCTAATTATATAAGAAGAAATTAATTTTAGTTTTGTTGATGCACAAGAATAGGTTTAATTTTACGTAATAAAAGTGTTGATCGTAATTTTTACATTTGTTTTGTATTTTCAAATGTTTACCATTGAAATTTAAATCGACCGCTTTACAATAGTTGGCAGACTTTCAAGCTGTTTTATTTGCTTATTTGCAGAACATCAAACAGGAAGGGATATTTTATAACTAACTTTTAACTATTTCAACTTTAACTATTTTTATCCGAATTAGTCAATGGAATGGGATACATCAAGTTGCTCACCCTATATTGCTTCAATTGACGCTCCAGAGTATCTGTACCCAACAAAGGCTGCAAACCTTTAGTTGTTCGTAAAACAGTGTTTTAAGTTACTTAAAACACTGCTTACCAGTGAGCATAGTAGCCCTTGAAAGAACGGAAAGAAGTCAAACCCGACCACCGAAAAAATGGATCAGTCTTACGGCAGCTCTCGTACGGGAAGTCAGGAAAGTGTTGTGTGAAATAAGGAGGAAAATTTTGGTTTCTTCACATTTTGTCAAGTCATGGAGTTACCATCCATGGTGGAGCGCTCGGGGAATCACCTGGTGGTGCGCAGCTTGGTTAATGGCGTACCGCTGTATCAAACATCATTGGAAGGTGGAGAGGATGTGGGTCTACCAACAACTCAAGGTTTGCAGCCTTTGTTGGGTACAGATACTCTGGAGCGCCAATTGGAGCAATATAGGGTGAGCAACTTGATGTATCCCATTCCATTGCCCGGTTCGGTTCCCGTGGGAGCTGCAGCTCCATCCGACCTGGTCCAAGAAAAAGTGGAAGGTGCACTGCACCCAGAAGGTAATCCTTCGAACAAAGAGGAAGAGCTACCCCAGTGCAAGATTCGACGCAACTACAGCTGCAACCAGTGCCCCTTCTTCACCCAAAATCCTCGTTCTCATTTGTCCCATCTTCGCGACGTCCATGGCGAACGGATTGTGATCAACGAGTGCAAGCTCTGCTTATACGCCTCGCGACATTTCCAAAAGCTGGTGCGGCACATGAAAATGGTGCACGGCTGCTCCGATGATGGAGGTCAACTGCGGTGCAAGCGAAACCTCTCGAGGGAGGTGCGCAAGAGACGTTTGGAGGAGAGCATTGTAATGCAGGCCGCAGCTGGGCCGTGCCTTAATCCCAGCCTGCTGCGCATGCTGCAGAATGGACCGCCACTGGAGCAGCTCAAGATCGAGCTGCAGAAGGAGGAACAGCAGCTGTTGGCCAGTGTCCAGGCTTACAGCCGGCAGCAGGAGATGCTGCAGCTGCAGCAGATCGTCGACAACAACGATAACATCTTCTCCATGGCCTTTGAGTTCCAGGCCAAGTTGATGCCTTCGAAGCAACCAGAGTCCCTAAAATTGGACCAGAATAATAGCAGCTCCGATTCCGAGGAGGCTTCAAAGAGTCCCTCGCCGGATAATTTTGAGCTGCCGCCGGGCGAGAAGCAGTTCCAGTGCCTGAAATGCTCGTATAGCACCCCTATCCGTTCCAGATTTAAAAAGCACGTCAAATACCACTCCATGCCGCTGATCAAGTGCAGCTCATGTGACTTTCACACACCCTACAAGTGGAACCTCGACCGCCACACCAAAAATCATGGTGCCCATGGACATTTCAAATGCTCGGCTTGTGACTTCAGCACAGATATCAAGCAATCGCTGACTATACACGAGTTAAACCATCATGTGCCTACTGTGGGTCACCAAACGGGCACTAGACGCCGGGATGATCACCTGGATCAACAGCCAACTAGCTCCAAGAAGTCAGAAACGGACAAAAGGGGTCCTCCGATTACAGCACCAGATTCTCCAGTTTCGAAACTCCCGGAGATCGTTTGCTCCCACTGCCAAAAGAAGGTGGCCAATGCCATCGAATTGATTAATCATCTGCAAGTGTGTGCTCCTGCTTTGCGGAACACCACTCATTTACAGGCTGTTCTTAACGGGGAGATGGATCTCCAGGATGATGACTTGCCCAGTGCTCCCACTGATCTCGGCTATTGCGGTGTGGAGACAGCTCCTGGCTATGGAGAGGTACATTTTACCTTAAACTTAATTTTCTTGATATTTGGCTGGATATTTACTTAATCTCCATTGTTTTAGGTCACTGAGGTCTTGCCAGAGGAATCCGATGATACGTCGCCCTTTAAGAAGGTTTTCAAGTGTCCCCATTGCACATTTTGGGCAGCTACTGCCTCGCGCTTCCACGTCCACATCGTTGGCCATCTGAACAGGAAACCCTTTGAATGCTCTCTATGCGCCTATCGCTCCAACTGGCGCTGGGACATCACCAAGCACATCCGCTTGAAGGCCATCCGAGACAGGTCCCACAATCAGGCCCAGGTGCTGATGAACGATGAGACTGGGAGGCGCAACTACGCCAAGTATAACCAGTATTTGACTTTGATGAAGGTGAGTGCGGATCAGATGGCCGATTCCAAGGGTATGCGCACGGGTGAAATGATCGCCATGCCGCCGGAGAAGCTAGCCGAGCATCATCCTATGGACACGGAGGAGAACTTGCTAGAAAGTCTGCTGCCCATTGAAATGATGGACAGTTCCTCTTCGACCTCGGCTCTAGATTTGAGCAAGCCCAAAGAAGATCCCCCGATGGGTAGTATCAACGTTGACGCTGAGTTGGTCACAAGTACCGACGATTTCCGCAAGCGACAGGGAGCCGCAGATACACATTTTCAATCACTAACATTTAAAGCGTTGAATGTTTCTATTGGCGAACCAAAATCCAAAGAGTCTCCTCTAGATTTGACAAAGTCAGATGGCGCTCAATCAGACGAAATGACATCCAGTGATGACTCTCAGGAGTCTACTGAAAGCGATTAGGTTTAACTATGGAAGTACACATGCTTTAACTATATCATATTATTGTCAATTTCAATAAAACATAATTTATAATATTTGGTTACACCAAATTTATCTGGGAAGTTTTAAATATTGGTATACTTTGTTTATATATCTACATAAAAATGGTTTTTTTTTAATAAGGTTTTAGTCTGAATACACTTAAATGCCGCTGTTAAAGAACCTAATAAAAGATTGAACCTTTTATAGTGAGATTATTGCGTATCTGTTTATTGTTAGGTAGGGGTAATTAGGGCAAGAGTACATCTAAAAAATAACAATAAATATGTAGTTAATAGTGTTAGCATACAGTTAATTTAGCGTGGCTACTGTAATTATGACACTCCTATTGAAGATCAGATCAGCTAAGCTTTAGTCTCGGATAATAACGTATACTACGAATTTAGATCACGCGCTTTTCACAGCAAACATTCCTGTATGAAAAATAATACTATGCATATCAAGACGAAGAGCGGCACCAGGAAGCAGACTTCATCTACGCCGAAAGTGCCCAGTATCAGCCACAGATCGAGACAGAGAAACCGCGCCTGCAGGAGCCACAACCACAGGCACTAAGCCGTCTGGCACTGCACGCCCTCAAAGTGTGGCGACTGTCCGTCTTCGTCTTCCTGTTGCCGCGGCATCGGCTTGTAGTCCGTCATCTGCACTTCCTCGGCGTGCTTGGGGACCACTATTTGCTGCCTGGGGGGCAGTAAATCCTCCAGCATGGCCAGCTGCGGTGCCGTGGCAAAGTCGTTGTCAGGAAACTTAACCTTAAACTTCATATAGAGATCTCCGCTGTCGGTGGCCTTGTTAAAAACAGGCATTCCACCGCCCCGCACCATCTTAATTTGGTTGTGCTGCAGCACTTCCCCCGGTTGGGTGCGCAGGCATACGTTTCGTCCATCCAGGTGCTTAAAGCAATGTGTGTAGCCGCATAACGCCTCTGTGATGTTTATCTCAAGATCCCGCATGTACAGATTAGCATGGCGGCGCTGAAAGAGCGAATGCTCCAGTTGTGCGATGACTACAATCAGGTCCCCAAACTCGCCGCCTCGCATTTGATGACCCTCGTTGGCGAAGGGAACCTTCAGCATGTGCGGTGCTCCCCGCTCAACGACCAGGTCCCGCTTCATCTTCTGCTCTACAAAACCGCTGCCCTGACAAGGACTGCACTTCTTGTCATCCTTAATGGTGAATCCCCGGCCGTCACAAGCCGGACAAGTCTGAAACAAAATATAATTATTAATACTGTCTTCCTTGCCTTCAGTAAATATAATTCACGATTTGAATTCGTAAAATCTTTAAGGGTATTAGACGAAATTGGCTTCCGTCCTTGTTTCTTGTAAGTTGAAATAGTTCTGCTTATTAACTTTATAAAATGTCACCACTTAGATGCTGCTTTCTGCAACCCTATTATGATTCAAATTAATGTTTGCTTCAAAGTATTAAAAAATGGTACGAAACGAATTGGCATGGCAAAAATAAGTATTAAAAATAAGATAAAACGCCAGACAAGATATTCTCTATTTTTAAATTTCCTGTACTGTAGCTTACGGATGACGCGGGAAGTAACACCACTGCCCATGGCAGGTCTTCGAACTCATTTACCCATAACTTTTTAAGATATTCTGCGATTGGTTAGATCTTCAGCGTTTGGATAGATATTAATAATAATTATTAATCTAGAATAACACTGGAGCAAAATATTCAAAAATTTGGGCGCTAGACAGATTATAGCGTAATGGGCCTTAGAGTGGGCGTGGCACTCGACTGTAACAGACTTGTACTGCAATTAAGCATGCAGATTCTAGGGATGTACACTAGTCGGCATAAGTATTTTGACGAAACAAAAGTTAAATGCACGCATAATTTGAAATTACTACATATACAATTTAACATAAATGGAACGTACGTTTAAATTCCGTTTGAACAATACAAGACATTTCTTAACCCATTAAGCACTTATTGAAAAATATGACTTTTTGTGAAAGTCTACTTTGTGAACTTTTTTCGAGGCTTGAAAAGAAACATAAATTAACGCAAAAAATGTATATAATCTAACATTGACTGCAAAAATAATTTTTCAAAAATCTCTTTACTTATATTTTTTATGATTATTTATGTTTAGTTGTTTAAACATTTGCATTCGGGCTATATTTTTCACTTTTTGCACCCGTTACTCGAATAGTAAAAGGGTATACCAGATTCATCGAAAAGTATGTAGCAGGTAGAAGGAAGCCTTTCATAATCACCAGCCGAGTCGATCTAGCCATGTCCGTCTGTACGTAAGAACGCTGTGATCTCGGAAACTATTAAAGTTGGGAAAGTTGGAACTTGGCATGTAGATTCTTGAGCTTCTTCCGCAACGCAAGCTTATTTCCACAGGGTGCCACGCCTACAATCGCCCGTAAAGCTACAACCCGTCTAGCGCCCACACTTTTTAATATTTTGTAAAAATTTAAATAAGATTTTGTTATCATTAATACTTATCTACATGCCGAAAATGTTTCAAATCTGACCATTCATTAAAAGTTAGAGTTTTCTCTTGTTTCCTTTTCAGTTTTTGAGCATGTGATTAAAAATATAAGTGTTTCTTTTAAATGTTAGGACCAACTTTACTTTTTTGTTTGGTGGCAAATCGGAAGTTCTATGGCTGGCTTTTTAAAAGTATTAAATTTTATTACTTTGCATTTTTCCTTGAATAAAGGATTCCTATAACGCTGACGTATTTTTTTCCATATTGTTTAAGTCTTTACATGCTTAGATGGAGCGACAGTATCCCATTTTACTACTGCTACCAATATATGTAGCATTTCAAAAATACAAATAAATATTGCTACGACTTAAAAACATGTAGGAACGATACTGTAGCAGTAGCGGAGGAATAAAGTTAAAAGATCAAAATTTGTGCTTCTGCTATTTATTTGTTTCAATTTAGGAGCTTTAGCAATAGCAATATAAAAAACTAGCATATCATTTAAAAGCCTGCAATAATTTTATGTCCTGTTCTTTATAACGAGAAATGTGTTTGTCCGAACATTGAACATTTTTTTAATACGAGTGAAGAATAAATCCAGCTTATCAGGGGTATCACAGAAATCGTGTAGTGCTGAATTCGCGTAAAATTTTCTTTAATGCACTTAGAAAACTCACAATTTATCGATCAGCGATTTCAGCGGCTCCGCCCTATTTCTAATTTTTGTTATAATATTTCCGGCAAGCGAAAAGGACCTTTTAGTTTCAGCTGCTAGCAGGAATTTAGGCTTCTTCCTTTTGTGCGTTTGAGCAAAACTTATAAGCTTGGTGGAGAACAACGTTATTTTTTCTTTTTTCGGTTATGTTTACTCCTCGATTATTGTACAGCAAGTTAATATGCAGTCTTATGATTTTATTAACACTGTATTTAAATTTTGATTTAGCCTGCTCAACTGTTACCTAATTTTCAAATATACTTTTAAAGAAAATATTTAAGGTTATTGTTTTGTTCCCTTTGCCGAGCCTAACAAGAACGATTTATTCAGAAACATGAACATGATTTTATTGACCTTTTTTTTTAAATGTATTTCAGCAAATGTGATCTAGAATTTTTTGCCAGAATAAATCAAAACAAAACTAATATTTTCTGCGCCAGTAAATCAATTTTTGAACAAAAAAGTGTAAAGGAATTAAATTAAATATTTTTACAGTTGCACAAAGTTGGTCGTAACTAAATGAATAGCACAAGAACGGAAGTTTCCTCGGCAACCCGAAGTTTACACTTCTTAAAATATCTTAAAATTTTGAAAGATATACCCGATTGTTCCTATGGGAAGCTATAGGACATCGATGTCCGAACGGGGAAATTTTTAACTAACGTATTAATTGTGTTTTGTATTAACTTTGTAAGGCCATTAAATATATTCCTTTGGTATCCTAAATGCATAACATAAACGAAAAGTAGAAATAATAAGTTTAAGACGGTGCGCAATGGCTTTGAAGGCCTTATGGCATATTTTATATTTTTATTTAAATCAGTAACGCTTCAGCTTTTTACTAAGCGGATGTATATCACTGTAGACGGCAGTACACGTAGTGGCGAAGCGCGCAAGAGAGCGTGCGAAGACAACTACTATATATAGCCGCAGAATTGAAAATCTGCCATTATGGTCCGATCGTAACGAGTGATACACCAATCGAAAGGTATCGCACTAACTAAGAAGATTGCATACCAAGACTTTCAAAATATAGATTTGTTTGGGAGAAAATGCGGTGATTGGAGCTGCTGAGTACGGTGGGGATAAAAGCCGCCAGCTGTTTAGCTAGTTTTATTCTTACCGAGAATACGCGTCGAATGACACCCTCATTTGTTGAAATCCGATTTATCCCGTTTAAAAGTAATTCAAAAAACAAGATTTTCTTCTTCTTCCCAAAATGAAAATGTTTGTCCCTTTGTTTGTGGGTTTGTATGCATCCCATCTTAGTTTTAGGGTTTTGGAAACCCTATGGGTGTATAAAGTAGCTAGAATTAGAAAACGTTTGTTCTACGACTTTTGGAAAAACCCGCTAGTTTAGCGGAAAAAGCCAGATTTAAAAAGCTTATTAGGGTCCTTTACTTGCATGAAGCTAATCGAAATAGGAAACTTGATCTATTTGTTCTACCACTTTGGAAAAACCCGCTAGTTCGGCGGGAAATATAAGAAACGACAGGTTTCTCTTGGAATCTGAAACTATCCAGCCCTTAAGATTCCAAACTTGTGCTATTAAAATAGGTAATTGAAGCGATAAAACTTGTTATTAAAAACTTTAATATTCATGGGGACGACTCCTAGTCATGGTATTGGGGTACTTAAACTCTTGTGCAAAAAAAAACTTCTGATATCAAACAAAAACACCTCTGAACACCTCTTATTACAATAAGTAGTGGCGAACGCACCTTTAACAAAAATTTCTGATATCAACAATTGTGACGAAAAATGATATTACATTCAATAAAATAAATAAACTATATTAAATTGATGTATTCGGCACGCTACATCAGAAAATTTACGTGTAGGTAAATAAATATTTACTGTTGCGGGCCGAAATCATAAATTTAATATAGTTTGTTTATTTTATCGAATGTAATATCATTTTTCGTCACAATTGTTGATATCAGAAATTTTTGTTAAAGGCGCGTTTGCCACTACTTTTTATTTCGTTAAGAGGTGTTTTTGTTTGACAACATTTAAGTTCGATTTTTACAAAACCTATTGACATTCATAACGATTTAATCAATAGTACATAATGTACATACTTATTTGCACAAGACTCTTGGCATTCCTTTAATATAAGTAAAATCATTATTATTCCGACAAAATTTCTAAGAAAAAATTTGAGCTAAGGAAAAACTTGAAGAGTCAAGGAGGTAACGATGCAAAAAGGCAAAATAAATAATAAATTTTCTATCAATTATTAATTCACTTTATAAGCACAGATAGGGATTCCTAGAAAGCGTATAATCAAGCAAGTGCTTACGTTTCCAGAATAAACTATTATTCGTATCTAACTTTTACTCTGGAGCTAAGAACAAGATACCCAAGAAGTTTACAAATTCAAATGCATATGTCGACTCCCAGAACCCATACATACCGCATCGAAGGGACTGAGACCCATAAAGGTAAAGGCGGCTGCCCGCCCCGCTCCGCCGCAGGTTTCGCAGCTCTCGTGAGCGTCCTTTGGACCTCCGTCGCCGTTGCACTTGGAACACAGCTTCTGCCGCTTGTATTCCACTTTTTTTTTCATGCCGCCAACGTAGATCTCCTCCAGCGTCAGCTCCACCTTTACCACGACCTTGCCGTCCCGCCTGCCTCTCCCCCCTGGAGAGACTCGTTCAAAGGGAAACCACTGGGCAAAGAAATCGGAGGCATCCGAGAATCCCTCAGCGCCCTCTTGCAGACCTTTCAAGCCGTAACGGTCGTAGATGCGCCGCTTCTCGGGATCGGACAGCACTTCGTAGGCAAAGGATATCTCCTTGAACTTGTCGCCCGCGTCGGGATTCTTGTCTGGATGGAACTCTTTGGCCAATTTGCGGTAGTTCTTTTGAAGCATCCGAAAAAGGGGGAATCCAAATTATTTACCAAGAAATCGAAATGGGGCAGTTACCTTCTTTATATCCTCGTCGCTTGCGTCCGGAGCCACTCCTAGAACTTCGTATAAATTTAAGTTGTCCATTTTTTATTGCACCTTATCCCCCCTACAAACTAAAATAGTTGTACATCGTAGGTGTGCAAACTATTTATTTATTTAACAATGTATCTATGACAATATTTTCAAGTCATATTGGTTAGCGAGTGTGACCAAGTGCGCTGGTGGAACCCCAAACAAGAGGTACCGAAAGAAATACCTCAAATTGCGGCTGATTTGTGAACAGTAGGCATTGGCATTGGAAGAATAGTCTGAAAGTTATGTTTAAATGTCTTAAAAAGGTTTATGTAATTTAAAATGACGTGTGTATTATATGTTAACTAAAGAAATGTTTAGTAATTCACAATTTAAACAATATATCTAAATTTAAATCTAAATAATGCAGGTAAATTATTGGTATTTTATACATTACTTTATATTCGAATATTGTATTTTACAAATACAAATTTTTACAAAATAAGTTAATTTAGATCTTTCTTTTCATAGTGCCCACTGTAGCACACGTAATCCCACCCGGAAAACGCCAAAAATACCAGAAATATACCAAAACGAGTCACGCTGGCGACCATTTCCATACGAAAAGGCGTTAGCACATTCAACACGACAAGTCAGGGTCCCACCCGAATTCACTTCCACCAGCGCACATACACACACAGGCGCAGCTACGTGTGCCATCTTGCTTTTTCATCGGAAAATTTTCCAGAAATTACGCTCAAAAATTACGAAAAAATCGGAACCAAATGGAGTGGAAATTTTTTTAAAATTTAAATTTCGTGCGATTACGTGAAATAAAGTCGAGTTGGGTGAAAAATTCGCCGCCAAACGATCGCTGGAGAATTTTTTCAATCAAGCCAAATGGGTGCGAAGCTGACGACGTAAAAATTTGTGTGTACCAACGAAAGAGCGGAGAAAACGGACGAGGCGAGAGTGCAAAGCGGAGAGACCGAGGAAACACTCGCGCAAGAAGAAGAAGCAGCAGCAACGACGAGAGTTTTCTCTCTGTGAGTCTGTGTTGCGTGCGTGTGCGCGCGCGCGTGTATTGGGGAAAAATGATGGAAAACTACGAGGAAATTCGCCTGGGCCACATTAAGGCCAAGGATCTGGACGACCAGGTGCCAGACGCTCCGCAATTCTATCCGCCCCCCAAATTTGATTTTGGCGCCGAAATTCTGGCCACAACGTCGACCGAGGCAGAATCGGCGGCAGAGGCAGACCTAGCAGCAGCAACAACAGCTACCAGCGAACTAGCTGGCAAAGCAAATGGTGAAATCAAAACAAAAACATTGGCTGCCAGGGAAGAACAAGAAATTGGCGCCAAATTGGAGCAAGAAACCAAAAATCTCGCAAAGCCATCGAGTGAAAATGAAGAGGAGGACGAGGAGGAGGAAGAAGACGACGACGAAGAGGAGGACGATGAGGAGGAGGTCACCGGAACCAGCAACGAGGACGAGGACTCTAGCTCCGACTGCTCCTCTTCCGTAGGTCCCGACTGGAAGCTGCGCTGGCTGCAAAGAGAGTTCTATACGGGCCGTGTGCCCCGCCAGGTCATTGCAAGTATTATGCCGCACTTTGCCACCGGACTGGCGGCTGACACCGATGACTCCGTGCTGTGGGACTACCTAGCCCACCTGTTGAACGAGCCCAAGCGGCGCAACAAGCTGGCCTCGGTGAACACATTCGACGATGTGATCAGTTTGGTCAAGAAATCGCAGAAAATCATAGTGCTTACGGGAGCCGGGGTATCCGTGTCCTGTGGTATCCCGGACTTTCGCTCCACCAACGGCATATATGCGCGATTGGCCCATGACTTTCCCGATCTACCCGACCCGCAGGCCATGTTTGATATCAACTATTTCAAGCGGGATCCGCGACCGTTCTACAAGTTCGCCCGCGAGATATATCCCGGCGAGTTTCAGCCCTCGCCCTGCCATCGGTTCATCAAGATGCTGGAGACCAAGGGCAAACTGTTGCGCAACTACACTCAGAACATCGACACCCTGGAGCGGGTGGCGGGCATACAGCGGGTGATCGAGTGCCACGGCTCCTTTTCAACGGCCTCGTGCACCAAGTGCCGGTTCAAGTGCAACGCTGACGCCCTGAGGGCGGACATCTTTGCCCAGAGAATTCCGGTGTGCCCACAATGCCAGCCCAATAAGGAGCAGAGCGTAGACGCTTCCGTGGCCGTTACAGAGGAGGAACTTCGCCAGCTGGTCGAGAATGGCATCATGAAGCCGGATATTGTTTTCTTCGGCGAGGGTAGGTGTCGATTGCATATTGTGTTTTTATATTTTACATCTAATCTGACTAATAAAAACAAAATCTTCCAAGGCAACAATCAAAGTGTTTATTTCAGAACTAACCACATTTTATTATACACTTTAAAAAAGTTAAAGTATTTGAAATACAATAAATGCCAATTCTCTAATTGGTATATCATGCGTTTGCTTTTCCTATTACCAACAGGTCTGCCGGACGAGTACCACACGGTGATGGCCACCGACAAGGATGTGTGTGATCTGCTGATCGTGATCGGCTCCTCGCTAAAGGTGCGACCCGTCGCCCACATTCCCAGCAGTATCCCGGCCACGGTGCCGCAGATCCTTATCAATCGGGAGCAGTTGCATCACTTGAAATTCGACGTGGAGCTGCTGGGCGACTCCGACGTAATCATCAACCAGATTTGCCACAGGCTGTCGGACAACGACGAATGCTGGCGGCAGCTGTGCTGCGATGAGTCGGTGCTTAGCGAGAGCAAGGAGTTGATGCCTCCAGAGCACTATCATCATAATCACCATCATCATGCTAGCCACCACCTTCACCACCACCGCCACTGCAGTTCGGAGAGCGAGCAGCAATCGCAACTGGACACTGATACGCAATCCCTCAAGTCCAATAGTTCGGCGGACTACATTCTGGGCTCTGCTGGCACCTGCTCGGACAGTGGCTTTGAGTCCTCTACATTTACGAGTGGCAAGCGTTCAACTGCCGCCGATGCAGCAGCCATTGAACGCATTAAAACAGACATACTGGTGGAGCTGAATGAGACAACCGCCCTCAGCTGCGATCGCTTGGCTGTCGGAGCCCCGTCAACAACGGTTGAGAGCTACCGCCATCTTTCCATCGATTCCTCCAAGGACAGCGGCATCGAGCAGTGCGACAACGAAGCCTCTCCCAGCTATGTGCGTCCCAGCAATCTGGTTCAGGAAACGAAGACAGTGGCGCCCAGTCTTACACCCATTCCGCAACAGAGGGGAAAGCGACAAACAGCAGCAGAGCGTCTGCAACCTGGAACATTCTATTCCCACACCAACAACTATTCGTATGTGTTTCCAGGAGCTCAGGTTTTCTGGGACAACGATTACAGCGATGACGACGACGAGGAGGAAGAAAGAGGCCACAATAAGCACGGTGATCTCTTTGGCAATGTGGCGGATAACTACAATGATGAAGATGAGGATGCCTGTGATCTGAATGCCGTTCCATTGTCACCATTGCTCCCGCCATCGCTGGAGGCTCACATAGTCACCGAGATTGTTAATGGAGTCGATGAACCTGTCTCCAACAGCAGTCCCGGCCAGAAGAGACCCGCCTGCATTCTAGAACAGCCGCCAACAGCCATCCCAACTCCCGCAATTGAAAGGGAAACTCCGCCTCTGAAGAAGCGGCGACCTAGCGAGGAAGATGGGCAGCAGTCCCAAATAGAAAGTTCGGAGGAGAGTCCGCCTCCAGGACAGTTAGCAGCTGTGTAAACATAATTTTATCCCTGCTAAAAGTGTAGTATTTATTTTAAACGCAATTTAAACCAACTTGTAAACAACAGAAACAATGTCCAGAGAAGCTGCGAAATCAAAGCAGAGGGCCATGTTACCAATTTCATTCCCAAGAATTGTAGTGGAATCGGAATTGATAGGTTTAACGTTTACTTGTATTTGTTTTAAAAATGAAACTTCTATTCCGGTTTTACGAAATTATTGAAGGAACGAAACCGGAACTAGAACAACTAGTTTACTGAACTCGAGGCTTTAGACATCTGACCCTCGTTGCTTTACAACCACTTTACGATCCTTCCGTTTTGATATTTTTGGAAAAGCTCTTAGTTTATTTATTATCTCTCTTCAAAACGAATCGCTGTAAATGTTAGTATTTTATTACACTAAGTTGTTATTGAGGCCTTTTTAGATAAACGAGAATGATAAGCGGAAAGTTAAAAATTCTCTAAAAAGCATGGTTTCTTTGTATTCAAAGAAAAGCTACGCCTCAACTTTAAACCTAGGTTTAAGCGTAAAATATTTATAACTATGCAACTACAACCGCAAAAAAACAAAACTTAGACTTAGTTAAAAACTAGACACAAACACTCTGTATATAAGCACTCGCTCTTATTTTGTATTGTACATGATCCTTTTTATACTTTTTTGCGTTATCCTTTTCTTTTCTTTTTCTATCGGTTATGGCAACTATTTTCCAACATTAATACACTCTCACACACATCAGATTTGATCATCTATTTGTTGTTATACAGATACGAATACAAGTTTGACATTTGGTGTGCGTGTTTAAAATGTTTAATCAAAAACTAGCATAAATATATAGCCACCAAACGCAGTGTAAACTTAGCTGTAAGAATTTAGTCTATATGTCATAAAAGTGTATTAATTATCCAGAATATAAAAAAGTCTTAAAGAAACGAAAAAATTGGTTTTTAAATTTGTACAAGTTAAAGCTGGTTAATATAATCTTAGGTTCTGAAGGTATTGGTTTAAGTATGGGAGCTACGTTTTATGATGACAGGGAAAGTATATAAAGGTTTTGCAAATTTTAATTAACTTGGCGGATTTCGATCTTTGGTGTTTCCAATGTGAAACATGTATGCACACAAAATCTGCTTTCTTATCTGCTGGTAGAAAATCGTATCTTAGCTTGATATTTGTCAAACCATAGTCGACGTATATACATATACGGGGGTGACAGAAACTCAATCTGACATTCTTGCTAAGTACAACTAGCAGAGTTGATCTAACAAGTCAACAAAGTAGATTCTAGCGGTGACTACGCAGCCCGAATTTATTTAGAAAGTTTACAAACGCGAGTTTTTCAGTTAAGATAATCAAATTATTATAATCAATCAATTATCTCAAAATCTGTGAGTCTGCGCTTAATTCTGATATAAAATTAGCATGCAATGTTAATGCTTTTTTCTGATAATCGTAGAACATTTTAATAGTCACACTTCCTGAATTTGAAAAAGGCAGTTGGAGCCGTCGTTTTAGGTGCATACCTTTTTGACCCCACATAACCCAAACACAGAGAAAAATCATGTAATTTCAATACTTGCAATTTTGAATTCGGTTTTATTAAAGTATTTTGACATTAGCTGGTACCTTATGGTTATCTAGATACATATTCTATTATTAAGGTGCCTTCTTCAAAAGTATGCCTTATACCAATAATGCTCTCCTTGCAGAGACGTGTGATTCCGGAAAGAAATAAAACGAAGAGAGAGCGCGTTCGCTGGTAATCGAGGATCCTACGGACTAGGAGCGCATTCCTATCGCTCGGCTTACGAGTGAACGATGTATGCTAGACATGCTGCCTGGGTTGCTTGCAATCGCTTGATTCTATATAAAATATGACATTCTTGGGTCCTATGGTCGGCGAGGGAACTTATGTACAATTTACAAACCCATGCTAAACAATCCCCGTATATTTATATAAATATTGTGTGTTGCATGCACTGTTTTTACTTTTACTTTTATAAAAATACGCGTGATTAAAAAAATGTATTTGTCCCCAATTCAATGATATCTATACAATTGTTGATATAGAACTCTGACTGATATAACATGAGCATACGGCTACGATCTACGGTTTACGATATAATCGGTATAAAATAACGCGCTGTGAGACTTGAGTTAGTTATACAATTGTATCGTGGATGGTTGATCCATTCTAGGCAACGTTTGTGTTTCGATTTCCAGTGCTAACAAAATACTTCAATATGTATTAGTATATATATTCGTTATATATATCCTACATGCATAAGCACTAGTATACACGTATAAAAGTGTGTTTTTATCGGTGATAACTTTCGTTTCGCTTTGAAAAAATGTAAATCCGGGCACTATAAAAACGGAGATTTGTTGGTCTTGTGGGATCTGGCTCTGCCCGGATTAACCTTGCACTTAAGCTGGGCAATAAGATCTGAGATTTTCAGCGCCGGCCCCACCTTCATGCCCAACAGTGGCATTATATCATCCTTGGTTAACTGCAGCAGTCGCTTTCCATCGATCTTGTTCCGGCTGAAGGTATCGCAGTGCGCTGTGCAATCGTTGACCCGTAGGAACTGGGATACGTCATACACATTCCACGAATCCGGCACCAGTTCCAAGTGCGCCTCACTCGAATCGATGTCGGCCAGACGCGGAATGTACTTATTATTCGTTGCTGAGGAGTTCTAAATTCGGGCAAATTACAGACTTAATTAGTGAAAATGTCGCAAGGGATTAAAGGGGTTTTAGGTTAAGGTAAATGATGGGACGGTTGGATGTTGGGGGGTTATGGTTGTTGCAAGTACCAAAAATAACAGTGCGTAAACTAAATTATATACAAATTGACGTTTATATGAACGATTTCGGTTATATACATTTATGCAATAGTGATATGGAGCCATGGCACAGTGGTTTATCTTTAGAAAGGCACTTCAGTCTTCATCAAAATCCTAAACCAAAAATAGCCCTTTTCGTCTCACTTGCTTAAATCAAATCAATAACTTTTTTAAACTGACTTTCTTCAACTTTAGTGAATGTAAAAGTGATTTGTAAACTACACTATATGTTTTTGGTAAATTAAAAAAAAAACACAGACTTGAGAACAAGAAATAAAGCTTGCTGGAAAAACATCATGAGGAGTTTAATTTTCCTTTTCATTTTCCGGATCGTACGAATTAGATATAAAATTATTCGGAAATCTTAAAAAAAGGTTTGACTGTAGAGTAGTAGAGAATATCAACAACAACAACAAAGCCATAATGGTTTGTATAGTTTCCCGATCAATTGTATGAGAGCTATAGTACATAGTCCTGCTAGACAACGACTTTTGGGGAAGTTTCATTCATGTAGCTTTAAAGCAAAAAGAGTAGTTTTAGTTCAAACGAATAGACGGACGGGCGGAAGTGAGGGAAATATTTTCTTCAGTGATTTGCAAAGTTCTGCCTATAAATCATATATGAAATGTTTTAACAAAATGTACGTTTCAAAACCACTGTGCCTTTTAGACCCCCCATTTAAATGCATAAGCTGGACTTCAGGTGGGCAAGTTGGCGGGCAGGCGAGCAGGGCTGTCTGGCTTGATGGCTCTGGATGAATGACTCTACGCACTATTATTCCACTAAGTACTCACCGCAATGTAGCTAGTAGCTTTGCGGCCCACAGTTGGTGGCGCAGGTGATTTAGTAGTGGAAGATTTCATTACCATTTTGTTGCTGCTCGTGGCTAGAGTTACCAGCGAAGTGGAGCCACTTCCACTGCCTGATCCTGCGATCTGATCACTGGAGGACTGTGTGGCGGATTGCTCAGAGATGTGGCTGGTGCTTCCGTCCCCATCGCCATCCGCATCAGGATCCTCCTCTTCGCCCTCTTCCTCGGGCTGATTGTTCTCATAAAAGGCAGCATTGTGATGCTCCGGCTTCAGCTCTAGCTTGATGCTTAGTTTGGGCAAGTGCGGCGTGGTCTTAAGCGCAATCGTACGTGATTTAACTGCAATTCAAGTAACATATAACTTAGTCTTTAATAATAAGTGCTATTAACATAAAGTTGTCTGTACTAGTACGTACAATGTAAGATCAGGTTCCAATTGTTGGATCAATACCGCCTTCAAGAGGATCAAAGTTAAACTTACCCGACTGAGTGTTGTTGTCGTTTGGTGTCTTGCCCCCGACTGCTCCTTTTTTGGGCTTCCGTTTCCTTTGTATCTTAGCCTTTGGTGCAGGTTTTGGTGGCTGCTGCTGCGCAACCCTCGGTGGTCCCTCCAGCTTGTGGTTCACCAATACACACCAACCTACTGGATATATATCTGCCGATTCGCAATCCAGCCACTGGTCGTATTCGTCCGTCCATCCGTCGAAGTGAACTTTAAGAAGCCGACCCACCACCCGCGCTACCGTCGCCACGCAGACAAGCCGGGGGTCCATAAGGTCTGCACACTCCAGACTCATGCCCATTTCGAATCCGTGGTCAGGCACTACACGATGAAATAGGTGCTGACTGGCGGCTACTGCTCCCGTGTCCCGAAGATAACCCTCCCATGTGAATGTACGAGAATCGTAACCATTCGGAGGAGTCACCGAAATGCTGTTAGCGGAGCAGAATCCAGCCGGAAAGATACACGGACTCTTTTCATGATAACAGAACCTGTAAGAGTAAGGTAATTGTTACGTTGGCTTTATTTATCCCTAATAATAGCTTTAAAAGCTCACCAATCCGACCCTGAGGCATCCGGCTGGTAGGAATCAATGCGTATCATCATGTACCCAAATTTCAGAACCGCCATTACTGTGGCCGGGCATATGGATGATAGATTGAGGGGGTCCACCGCTTCCAGCTTCATGCCTTCCACAAAGCTATTGGTCTTGCCGTCACTGTAGTACTCGTCGAAGGTAAAGTTCATTTTGAACAGCTCAATTGTGGCATCGTCCTCATGAACTTCGATCATCGCTTCGCGTCCAGCTAAAAAGCAATTTAAGAGAAGTCTATTAATCTGGGAAATTTATAATACATTTTCAAGGAACACTGTTTTAGAACCATTTACTTATTTATATAATATGTATTTATAACATTGCAAATGGAAGAGGACTCACCCAACATGCGCTCCAAATAGTCTTGCGGGGCGGCCAGATTATGGCCCACTGTGGTTGCCCAGCCAACCGGGTGGATGATAGGCGAATCCTCGTGACACCAAAACCCATCGTCAGAATCGAAGTACCGCAAGAAGAGGCGCTTCCCCACGATCTTGGTGACTGTGGCCAGGCGCACCTGTGAAATGCGATCCTTGTCCACACACTCGAGATTCAGGCCAAGACGGAAGCGCGACTGCAGGCTGTCGTTGATTTTGTTGTAAAAGTTGGAGGGAAGGGTGCGGGCTCCGGATAAGCGGCCGACCAGGAAGTCCTTCCAGTCCTTGTACTTGTGCTCGATGGTGCGGGGCGGGATGAGGGGCTTGCCCCGAGTTGCACACCAGCCCACCGAGTGCACCTCGGCGTTGCAGAGGTTCACCCAGAAGTCGTGTGAATCCGTATCGAAGCCCTCGTAGCTCATCAAGGCCTTATAGCCCTTGATCTCCAGGATGGTGGCCACCCAAAATGAGGTAGGAGTCTGGCCCGGCTGGATCACCTCGATACTATCGCAATCGGTGTTCTCCACCTCCACTTTCATACCCACGCCCAGATTGTCCCATACCTCGCATCCGGGCGCATGTGGAAAACAGGTGACAGGAGCCGCATTGAAGTTCTCCTTGCTGAGGCGGGGTAACCAATCGTAGGAGTGTGTGGGATCGTACATTCGCCGTCGTATGCTGATAATTTTCTCCATTTGCGGACACGGTACTGGTAGACGCTCATACTTGGGAATTTGCGGCAGGTCATCCTGAGGGTAAACGTCTTTAAAAAGTCGAAGGGCCTTGGGCGTCGGAGCTGCGGTCAGATATGAATTGGGTGTGGCTGCTCCTTCCTCGGCGCTTCCCGGAGCCGTGGCATCTCCCACTGCTCCACCATTCAAGGCAGCAATCGTTTCATTCGCTGCCATTTGAACATTATTGGCAGCTGCGTCGCCACCTAGGGACATCGGTTCGCCAAAGCTGTTCAACTGGGTAATCTTCGATTGGTCCGTAATGCGGAAACGGTAATTGGCATTCTTAATGTGCGCCGCCTGCAGGTCAAGCTCTATATCCGACTGGGACTGGTGCTGTTCGCCAGCCAAGACTTCTTCGACCGCATCCGAGCCCGCTGCGGGAATCGGAGAACTGGTGCTTGCCTGGCCTCCCTCCATCTTGCTATTCAGTACCAACGAATAAAGTTCACCTCGGGCACAGGCCATGCTGCAAAAGCGTCTCGATTTTGTGTAGAATGTGTGCTTCACTCCAATGGCTCCACAACGTTTACAGACAGCTGCGGAGAAAATAGGCGAATTGTTAAAATATATTCAAACTTTATTGAGTTACTTCATCTGATCAACCGTACTTGTACCCCGCCATACAAACCCAAATTCTTGGAACACAAACTCAAACGGAATACAAATTGTAATTCAAACTTAAGCTAGAGGTAAATCAAACTTAAAAAGCTGTGAAATGAATTTGTTGTAGAGTGAGTCGATTATTCTACTTAAGAGTAGCAGGACGGTGTTCTTTAAAACCAAATTCGTGATTGGTTCAACGAACAATTAATAATTCAAAAAAAAAATACCAATTAAATATCTTAGCTGATGGTGTCAAAGTTAAAAATTAATCTTTAAAAAGCTTAAACTGGAGCCCGACTGATTAAATAACCTTGGAACTTTTTATAAATAAAATTAGGTTGTAGATCAAATTAATCTCACAAAATCAAATCTTCTGTATTAAACGAACTGACGCTTTAAAGTTACATACGATTTAAATTATGATTTGTGCTTTTATGCTTATTTAAGTTGTACAACTCGCCCTCACAATGGTCTCATAAAAAATCGACACACTCTATTGCAGAGCAACCTTACCCATGCCGTCTTTCTGTATGGGGATCACCGAAGGGTCTATGTTGCCCTTGTAGGCGATGGGTGTCTTCAGCACCAGTCCCGGCCTGTTCACGGGTTCGATCTTGCGCGTCTTGCGTTGTGACCGCAATGCGGAGGAGGTGGAGGCACTGCAGGTGGCGGTGGTTGCGGTGGAGTTTGCTCCTTTGGCCATGCTGTACGTGCGCTGCATTTGCTTGCTGGAGCTCACACAGGGTGCTTCGGAGCTGACCATAATGTTGCCAAAGGCGTTTCCATTGAGCGTTGCCATCGCAGGGGCTAAAGTTGTGCCCAGCAGCTTGTGGTGCAGCAGGCCGTCAGCTAGTGGGACCAGCAGATCATGCTCAACTCCAGAGACACCCAAGCCTCCAGGCAACTGTGTCATGCAGGACGAGGAGGACTGCGAAATATCCTTGTCCGAGGAGGTCATGAAGTCGGTGCCATCGTAAGAATTATTGTCCTCGTTCATCATCACAAAGTCGTCGATGTTGATGATCTCCTGTTTTGGTTCCAGCCCCGATCCGCCATCGTCGTAGCCATCGTCCATCTGACCGTACACCTGGTCGTCATCATCCACAACCGCTTCGCCAACACCCACGCCCATAAGAGCTCCGTCGTGTGCGGCCATGCCCACCATACCGGTGTCCACATCGCTATCCATAACCTCAGCATAGTTTTGGAAGACAGCCGCTGCCGCCGACTGCTGAAGCAGTTGCTGCTGCAGGCCGCCCATGTGAGCGAATCCGTACAGGTTGTTTGAGTTGGTGGCAATCAGGGTGCCCGGCTGAACACCCAGCGCCGCAGCCGCCGCTGCCGCCTGACCAGAGAAATCCCCCCCCATCAGGCTCATCATCGGATTCATTTCCTTTTGTTGAGCAGGATGGGTTCGAAGATTGGATGTTGTTCAGGTTGAGGTTCGATCATTGGTTTTGTGTATTTTTGTGTCGAGTTATAAATTGTAACCAATACATAAATCATAGAAAAGAAAGTAGAAGAAATAAGTAAACGAATTCCAATTTTTAACTGAGACAGACAAAAAAGATAGTTTTGAAATTTGGCCAATCCCCAAAGAGTACGTGTTAAAACCTAAGGAATTTGGGTTTGCGTGCGACTCCGAGGACTAGCAAATATAATGCCGACAATCATTAAATTAATAATTATATTTATTAGTCTTCGAATTGAGAGATTGGCTTTTGGATCAAACCGTCTGCGCTTACCAAAGTCGGTTGATGGGCGGAGAGGTCCTCCATGACAGAAAGTCCAACTGTGGGATGACCCAGAAGAGTGGCCGCATCTTCCAGTGTAATGCGCTCCGAGTTGTACTGACTACTCATCCACATCATACGCAGCTCGGCCGGATTCATTATAAGCGGTTGAAGCTATCGATGCTGGACTTGTCAGTATGGTAGTATCATTTATAAGACAAAGTCCTGAATTTTCTTCCAAAAATATTCAAGTTGCCCTTCTTGTTCGCTAACATGCATTGGCTGAAATGGAAGATGGGTAACATTAATTTCGCAAATTTTGAATTGCAAAAGGTATTTTTTGAAAAGATAATAATTCAAAATAGTATCATTAAATTAAGCAACGAACGACACTTTGGAAGCTCTTCTTAAACCTTTAAGAGACTTTGGCTAACTCTCAAAAGAATTAACTTATATATGTATAAAAATATCATGCGTCTATTGCCCTTATTTTAAGTTATTTTGAAATTTTAGGCATAGAATAACATAAATAAATAAAAATTGGCAGTACAACATAATTCTACCCTGAGGTTAATCTTGTAAGAATAGTTTTCGTTTTACGCAAGATTTCAGAACTTTGTGAGATATTGAAGATCATTTTAAATATGTAGGAAAAAGACATAATACATGGAATGTTATCAACAATTAGGTATTTGTTGTACATTTCTTTGATGGACTTGAAACTAGGTGTTTGTAGTAAGTTAAAGGTGGGAATTCGAATGTTCCCGGTCTTTGTTTGAATGAACTTTTCCGTCCCGGCAGGAGCCTCGACCATATGGGCCGTAGCTCCTGACCGATTCCCAGTGTTCCTCGTTTGTTCGTTTTGTTTGCCTCCTTCTCTCTTTTTTTCCGTTTTTGCACGCAGCTGCTGCGCTGTGGAGAGGGCAGGGAAAGGCGATTAAAGACTTCCGCCGCGGGCTCAACTTCGCGACAACTTCTTGCGGCAGCCACAGCAGCCACGCCAAATTCCACTCATCTGGCCAATAAACATTGCTCGATTTGTACAAATCCTGGTTACACTTTCCGTGCGAAGCACATCACTCGCTCGAAAAGTCAATGAAGCGTTTGCGCAGACAGCGAACGCGAACACAAAAGAAAACGCACGATGTTGCTGCCCCAGGCTGCGAACTTACACTTTTAGCACGTCTAACGCGTTCGGCTTAGGTTTCGCCAACTGCTAGCACTTGTGAAGTTCCATTTTATGGCTTTTTTAATGGATTTACCGAGGTTTTCAACAGTTTTTAAAGAGCCAACTTCTTTTGCATTTGCCGAGCAGGGATGGCAATTAGCTCCCAGGGCTGCGCAGTCGAACATCAGCGTTTTGGCATTCTTTTGCCCGCTAAACCGCCAGGGCTGCAAAAGAGGGCGCGTTCAGCAGGGAGTAACGAAAAGTGATTACCGATTCGATGGGTGGATGTTGTATCGATAAACGAATTTACAACGAAATCTTTGAAAACAGTACGAATCTTAAGTTATTTCTCAAGGGATTGTCTAGATTTATTATTTTCTTTCTATGTACATTTTTAAAATTCAACGCAGTAATAATTGTACAAATTGTTAATACGATCAAATGTGATAATTCGTAGAAATAGGGAGTCAACAGTTTAGCATTTTTGAAATCTGGGAATCGAATGCTCAGTCACTACTTTAAAAGGTAATTTATCACAGTACTGAACGAGCCCACCGTTTACCAACACCGGTCGCGTTGCTTAGTTTGTTGTCGACCAAACAGTGTTGGCAAACACTTGGTGACAAAAATGATTGGAAAACAATAGATAAGTTAAATAATAGCCACAAAAAATGCCAGAGAATGCAGCCAGCTCGGTGCCCACAGAGGCTGGCTTTCGGAACTTGCGCTGCCAACTGTCGGGCAGCACCTTTGGCCAACGGCGCGAGGACATCTTTCGTCGTGTCCAGGAAAGTGCGCATCAGATCTCGCTAAAGTACAATGGAAAGGAACTGGCCACGGAGAGGGATGAGTCCGTCCAGGAGCTGTGCGATTCCTTCGAGGAGCTGCTGTCCTACGGACTGAGACAATCGGCCAGTGGCTCCTCTTTCAGCGCTGCCAATATTATCCAGAACATGCAGGAGATAGTGTCCGGAAATGCTATTGGGGGCAGCAACAACAATGACGCCACTTTCTGGGAGTTTTGCCAGTCGCATTTGACGCCCCACGAACGGCAGCGGTACATGGACCTCAAGCAGATCTGGACCAATGTGGGCAGAGGGCGTGCCTTCATTCGCTCTACGCTGAATGAGAGGCGCCTGCACAGCCATGTGCTCACCTGGCTGAGCGACGAGGAGCAACTGCATCGCTACTACACACCCTGGTCGCTGCTGCTCAACGATGAGGTGGCGAAGAAGCTGCCAGAGATCTTAGACTCCCTCAGGGATGTTCTTTTCGCCCTCAATGTGGACACTACCGAGCTAAATGCGCCCAGGAGACTGGCAGCCATTGTCAAAGAGGAACCCATTATAATCGCCCCCAGTCCAGTGCCTGTAATAGGGCGCCATAAAAACCGACCAGGCATTGCCGTGGAGCGGCCCATTGAGGGCGCCACCTCCACAGAAGATTTACTGAGTGCACTGACCCCCATCCAGTCGGTGGAGGTGCAACAACTACTCTCCAATGACGCAATCGAACAGGAGTTAGCCACGTCTGTTGATGAAGTCACTGTGGGTCCGTTCGATCCCATTGGTCCTGAGTTGGAGTTTCTCAAGACGCCTCTGCCTGAGATTTTTCCACAGGCTGCTCCAGAGCCAGATCTTTACGAAGACCGCAGCGATACGTCTTCGCAATGGAGCAAGTCATCATCCTCTGCAAACTGCGTGGCCAACAGCCAACAGCAGGCAGCGTTGGAGGAGCAGGTGAATCAGCTTAACGAAAGATGCGCTCTCCTGGAAACCCGTGTAGCGGAGTTGAACCTGCAAAACCGGCTGCTCATCCGAAGGCTCACAAAACAGTTTGAGGAGACCGGCATTGATCCCAGCTCATCGCTCTGCTCCAACTTCCTGATAACCATTCCGCAAGTAAAGCTGGCCAAGACACAGCGTACTGGTTCGCACTACACCTATGAGGTTCACATCACGATGAGGCAACGTTTGGAACACTGGACCTTTTTCAGGCGATACAGCGAGTTCAATAAGCTGCACAAGACCCTGCTCAAGACACATCCGGTGGTCAGCGCCGTGGAGTTTCCGCCAAAGAAACATTTTGGCAACATGAACCTGGTCTTTGTGGAGGAAAGGCGCCAGCAGCTGCAGATATATCTGCTTAATCTCGTTGAAGTCCTGCCTCAGGTGGAGGCCTGCAAGTCCAAGGCAGAGCTGCAGAAGGTCTTTCCCTTTTTTAGAGAGAGGTAGCAATCTCTAAGAAACATAAGCTATCAAAACACAACCTAGAGCGCTCGAAAAGAACAAGTATTCCTCCCTATATTATTTCTATTTCGTTATAAAGATCTTTACTTATATGTGTAAAAACGGAGTTGGTCCAAGTGCTGTAATAATTGATATTAAATAAAGATAAGACTTTTTCATCTCAAAAAAAGTGTTTAAATCATGTACCGAAAATAATTAGAACTCCAATGATTTGAACTCAATGTCAATTTATGCAAATCCACAATGACTTAGTTTGTAAGTTTTACTTTTATAAATTCATGGTAAAAAATATTTGTTCAGTTTTATTACAAAACTCAGGCAATAATCGTTATTGATGAGTTAAAAAAACAAAAGCTAATACGGATTATTTGTGAGTTTTATGTTATAAAACTTAAAATAAATAATAAGTATTAGGTATTTTAAAATGATTCAATTTGTTCTTGTTACTTTGGCCATGCAGTTTCAATACACATAATTAAAAAAGTTTTAGTCTAACAATAAGCTCTTTACAAATGGATTAAAGGTAAATATGCGCAACTTTGTTCAACTTTTTTGCGTAACAAGATTAATTAGTTTTTTTTTCGTCACAGCTTTCGCTTGAGTTGCTAGATCTTAAAAGTCAAAAGACCAAGTTAAAAAGAAAGAATTCGCGGATTGAATTTTATACATTCTTGGTTAAAATTATAATTGCAAAGAATCATGGTGATGGTTATGCATCTTCTAACACTAAATAGCCGTTACCATTGCTAATACTGGAGTTTTATTTACTATTTATTGAAAACTGAAATTATATTTTTAGGTTAGAACAACGTTATTTTTTCGGATTGAAGTTCATTTAATTTTGCCATTAAGGTTTTGAACTTCCGAATCTCCATCGAGAGTTTAAAAGCAAAAAAAATGCGTCCTCAGCACGAATATAAAAGCCTACACCAAAAACAGCGACAGAACTGCAAATTTTTAATACATTTTTAAAATAGCTTATTGCCTGAAAGCAGATTTTTTATAATGTATGTTGAAACTTAAACCAAACCAACAAGAACCAAGTAAAATCATATTAAAATATCCAACACAACGGCCGCAACTTTTTCTGAGTTTTATAAAATAAAACTGGCAAGTAATCTTTACTGATGTTTTCTTTTATTATAAAACTAGACAAATAACCATGATTTTATGGAAAAAAAAATCAGAATCATAAATATATATATATGTATAAAAATTATAATGATTACCGTCCCTGGTTTAAATGTTGTTGACTATTCATTTGTGATACAGACAAAGACTGGTTCAGTTTGTAATATAAATCCACTGAAATAAGGATTTGAAATTATTTTTAATTTATTTTGCCTTTGTTTTTTAACCTTTGATGCTAAACTTAAAGAGGGGTACAGTGTACACATTTGAAAAATATTTATGGTAAAAGCAAATTTATATCTAAAGGAGTACGTGAATCTATACATATATCAAATGTCATAAACATTTAGGAGGGGGGACAGTTTTCTTTTTATTTTTCAATTTTTTACAATTTTTTTAACATTTTTTTTATAGTTAAAATGACAATAAAGTAAAAAACCACCTGACATTGTAACTAAAAAAAAGCGATAATAGCCCTGTTTTTTGGCATTTCAAACCCTAAAAATAGCTTTTCAAATTGTTCGCGCACCGAAATACAAATCCACTGTCTTGGCTGACAATACGGTATGCTTAAACCACCAAAGGGCGTCCACACTGGCCCGCCGAACAGCTGTGTTTGTTGTTATCAGCTAATTATAATTGCGTGTACTTTTGTCGGCGTAATTGATTCCTACACCATGATCGAGTGATCCGCAGGCTTCCACGGACTCCCAACTTTCCGACTGACTCAGCACACTCGAAACGCGTGATCCCGGAACTTTTTCCGGGAAGAGAGCACCAGCTAATTCAATTAGTGCAGTGGAAGGCGCCTTGTCAAGGTCGACCATGTCGGGAGTAGCCATTGCCATCAATGCAGCCATTTCAGGCGCTGCCTACTGCATGACGGTGCGGATGATTCCCCGTTTCCGGGAGATGTTCGTCCAGGCCAATCTCTTTGGCAACGATCTGTGCAAGAAGGATAAGCCACAGGTGTAAGTGTTGTTTTCCTTTTGGAAAGATGTAGACTCTCAACCTAAACAATCCCTATCTCTAGACCCGAATCATTTGGCGTACTGATTGGCTGTGTGTTCCTGGTCTCCTTGTTTCTGTTCATACCCATTCCCTTCGCCTTCGACGAGGCGGCTGCCACGGATGCGGTTACCGGAGGAAAACCAGACACCTTTCCACACGATAAGGTAAATATTTAATTGAAAAAGTTCACAATGCGCGACCTTATCGGCTGTTATCGCCCGCACAGTTCGTGGAATTGATTGCCGCCCTCCTGTCCATTTGCTGCATGATCTTTCTGGGCTTCGCCGACGACGTCTTGGATCTGCGCTGGCGCCACAAGCTGCTCCTGCCCACCATTGCCACGTTGCCCCTGCTGATGGTATACTACGTCAACTATAACTCAACTACTGTCATTATGCCGAACTTTGCGAGGAATCTGTTTGGCACTTCTTTAAACATAGGTAGGTCAAAAGTTTCCCCTTCGTATGCTTTAATCGATTATGTGGAACTAGTGAATGTCTATTTGGTGTACTACAAAATCCTTCCAACCAACTTCCAACCTAATTTATATTATGTTAAACTAGGTTGAAAGAGTTTTGTACCACACCTTAGTTATCTTAACATAATCGCTTTTGTAAATTTAAGATACAATACTATTTTATTATTTATTTAATTTTTCTATTATACTTAAAGTGGATTTTCTTTGAGAATTTAATTAAATATAATATTTTTCTACATAAAAATCAAAACCTATTTATAATGATTTAAAGACAAGGAAACAGTTCCATAGTAAATAAGTTATCTGTCTGATTAACTACATATCTTTATATTAACATTTCGATCATATCTAATTAACATTCTCTTTTAAGGTGTTCTTTACTACGTATTTATGGGCATGTTAGCGGTATTCTGTACAAATGCCATCAACATCCTGGCGGGGATCAATGGCCTGGAGGTGGGACAATCCCTGATAATTGCGGGCTCCATTTTGCTGTTCAATGCCATTGAATTGTTCCTGGGGCACCAGGTGGATTCGCATATATTCTCCATTTATTTCATGCTGCCTTTCCTGGCAACAACTTTAGCGCTTTGGAAGTTCAACAAGTAAGTGTGGCTTTTGTTTATCTAAATTATCTTTATTTTTACTACTGAATTGATCTGGCAAGTTAACAAATTTTCTTATAAATATATTTATGTTTCTAGGACAATAAACTAATAACACAAAAAACGCAAACAAATTTTAACCAAATTTAAATTTGTTTAAATTTGCTTGCTCTTGAGAACTTGTTTTAAAATTTAAAATATACCTAAAAAGCTTTTTTTTAACTGATCATGTGTGTTTACATCAATATACATATCTTAAAAATAATGCTAAATTCCGTTCAACCCATTTCACAACTTTTTTCCATCTAATTTGAGATTACTCTCTGTTGTTCTGTTCACTTCAGTTTACTCTCATAAATTCTTTGTTTAGTTCTGGTTTTCTTATCACAGATGGCGGGTCTGTCTGTCCTGTCTGCTGAGATACTAAATTTGGAATTCGCTTGGCCAAAACACAGAAGGGCAAGTAGTGCATGAGTGGATTAGGCAGAGTATGATATGAGATTGATGGGGTTTTGAAAGCAGGCACATATAAATATAAATAGTCGTCGATCTATGCTGGTGCGCCAGGGTGCCCAGCCCAAGCCAGACTCTGACAGGCGTAGTTATTCCTCCTCCTGCAAATCCTCTAGGACGTCTACATCGTAAAGATTAACTAAGAGCTGACCGTACTGGCTGCTGTGCAGGAGTGCCTCCTCCGGAGCGAAATACTTCTCGCTCTGCTCCCGCAAGCGGATGAGCTGGGTGGTACCATCGATGTGAAGTCCATTGGCTATCAGTTGCTGCATGTAGTTGGCATCGATGTGCGCATTTCGGGTATCGTTGGGCAGCTTCACTGGAAGCTTTTGCTGGCTAGAACTCTGCAATAGAAGCACAATCTGCTCGGGAGACTGACACAGCTCGCAGTTCCACCCGCCGTAGTGATTGAGGTCGCCCAATGTGCTACTCGCCAGTCGGTGCAGTCGGTGGGCGTCCAGTTGGGCACTGTGCAGGTGCCCCAAGGAACTTATCACCCCATTCAGCAGAGTCTTCTTTGGGTGCTGCCAGTAGAATCCGTACACGTTGTACTTCAAACGGAACTTCAGCGGTAGCACGTCCTTTGCATAGTACTTGAGAAACTTCAGAGCCGCAGGGGCGTAGACTGTTCCACTGTCCCCGTGCAGCAGTAGATCCTGAGCCTGCATTTGGACGCCACATTGCTGCCACAGCTGGCGCCTGAAATGGCTGTAGGCCATGGAGCTGCTACAGTTGGTCTCGGAAGAGCAGTGATGCAGCGTGTATGCAGTTCTGCTGCCCAGCATGTTCTCCAGACTGCGCTCCTTGCTGCCGTTGCTTACGTAGTATATGAGGAAGTAGTCCACCACTTCTATAAGAGCTCGAATTTGCAGCTCCAAGAGCTCAAGACTAAGATGGTCCCAGACTCCCAGTTCCAGCATATAGAACAGACGGTGCAGGGAAGTGGAACTGGCCTCGACCAGTTGAAGCGGTGTGCTCCCGCCTCGTTTACTGGCCCGGTTGGACGTCATCAGAGCTCGCCAGATAATCTCCGGCTGGCCGCAATCCCTTCCGTGCCAACCACTTTCACATCTGCACTGCGGCGGGGCCATCAGGTAGTCCATATCGTTGAGCCGCAGACTTTCGTTTATGGTGCCCTCGCGATAGCACCAAAGCGCGGGGGTCAACCCCATCTCCGCGTCCACATAGGCAGGCACGTTGTAGTCGGGCAGGTGGGATTCGTTCAGTCTGTCCGGTTTCATTTGGTAAAAGTCCCTGTCGTAGCGGTTGACATTTTCGTGTTGCCGGGGACACCGGGTTCCGTCCACACGGGGGATCGTCTCCAAGGGGATCTTTCCAGCTTCATCGCTGGCCACGAAGTTCACCCGCGCTCCGCTCTGCTCCAGGGAACTCCGCAGCTGAGACTCCTGGCCGCGGCTCATCTGCAGCAGCCAGATGCAGCCGATGAAGCCCACCTGCAGCACCAGCACTGACCACAGAACCAGCTTCTTGGTTATTGCCAGGCGGCCGACGCCGGCTCCAGCTGACAAGGAGTGGGCTGCCAGGCTTGCGCTCCTCACCATGGTTGCTGGTTCACTTTCTGCAGTTTTTCCTTTTCATTCTTATCAGACTTTTCGTACTTTTCTCGCTTTTCCCTGGCTCGCAAACACGCCCAAATTTTTTTACGGTTCCTCCCCCGCACAGCTGTCTCAAATGTCCTCTCCCAGCTGTTCGCTGCTGCTGCGGGAATCTGGCTTTCTCCCGTCAAATCTAGCTAGAAGTAGAACAGAGAGACTTTCAGGGAGGTTAGCAACACTAAATGTTACGGTTCGTCAGAATGCTTTAAAAATTTGGAAATATGCGCTATTTTTCAACGATTTGAAACATGTGTAGACGTTAAAAATAGAACACAATTGCAATCAAAAATATGTAGCAAAAGCACAAATTAAACTTGAACCTTTTATTTTTAAAAGCCCAAGGTTTCCATTTACCAAGTAAAAATTATAGTTACGGAATCTTTGAGCTTGAGAAAAAAATAATATTTTTTGTTAAGTGTGTTTAAGCTTTTAAAATTTTATCAAAATTTATTTTGCTTTACATCGGACTATTTATAAATCAGACGAATTTTACAAGAAAGAAAGCCAGCCTCGGCAATACGAAGTTTCAGATTAAATTTAAATTTGCAAATAATATGATATGTTCATACCTTTACACCGTTTATTTTTATTTTATATGCTCTAATCGTCCGATTTGTAAAAATTGAATTCATAATTCGTATATCTTAAAAAAGATATTATTAAAGTAAAAGAGAAAAGCAAAAACAAGACTTTAATTTGTGTCCTATTATGGCGCCTATATTATCATTTTATTTCGATTAACTTTTAACGAAATAGTAAAATTCAACTCAGGTGCACAAATAATTGAATTATAAATATATCAAAATATTTATGTGTAAAATCTAAAATAATGAAGTAACTTGTATTAATTTGTAATTTAGTCATTATATAAAAAAAGTATGTCTGTAGTACAAACAATGGTTTAGTACTTCATCCAAATAGCATAATAAAGATTCCTTTACGTATTATAGTTATTATGGGATTGAATATAATGCTATTCATTACATTTACATTCTAATTTGATGAACACTTTTCATAAGATAAATACACTTTTATCAACTCAATCTCAGAAATCTCTTCGGGAGAAATTCGTTGACAATATCAAAACAAGTTTGTCCCGAATTTCGCCAAAAAAGATTTCTGAAACACCCCCGAATGTAACGTTTGTGGAAATTAAAGCCTAGCAAAGCAATTGAAAGTATTTTAAAGTATTTTATAACGATCGAAAATTTCTGTTTTCCAGATATCCCTCGCAGGTGTTCGTCGGAGACACGTACTGCTACTTTGCGGGCATGACGTTTGCCGTGGTCGGCATCCTGGGACATTTCAGCAAGACCCTTCTACTTTTCTTCATGCCGCAGATCCTGAACTTCCTTTACTCCACGCCGCAGCTTTTCCACTTTGTGCCCTGTCCCCGTCATAGGCTCCCCAAGTACGATGGCAAGACGGACCTGCTCCACATCAGCACCACAGAGTTCCGCTTGGAAGATCTCAACACTCCGGGGCGGCTGATGGTCACAGTTCTACGAAAATTGCGACTTATTAGCTGGCATACCAAAGCGGATGGAATCGTGAGGACAAACAACTTTACCCTCATCAACTTTGTGCTAGTCATTTTTGGACCTGTCCATGAAAGAGTGGTTACGCAGATGCTGATGGGATTCCAGGTGCTGTGCACACTGATTGCTCTTACCATTCGCTATCCCCTGGCCAACTACTTCTACGCGAAAACGTAACCCTCGATCCTATTGTTTATTGATTCTGATATTTATTGTAGTAAGCCTTTGTAAGTTAACTATACAAACAGAATACATTTATTTAATGCCTACACAAAATATTTCCCGAAAGTAAGTCGTAAGAAAAATCTGTATTTCACTCGTCAATAAAGAACCAAAAGAATCAACTCAAAATCACCATGGCCACAACGGATTTGTCGGAGGAGGATCTATCGGCGCCCGAAGAGGAGGAGGATTTGGGTCCCAACATAGGCGTAAGTTTGCAATATACTTACACACATAGTAGTTTCGGGAAAAAACGCAGCCACGAAGTTGTTTGAGGTATTTTTATATGTATCTGGTAATTGTTATCGAGATAGTTTTTGCAAAAAAGGACACAAGTTTTTAAAGGTTACTTTTATACCTAAATCTTCTACATCAAAAACTAATGATAAATTAAGAAGGGCCTTTCCATCATAAGCTTAAACATTTTAAGTTATTTTTCGTTAAGTTGTATGCGGTATAAATAGTTTTTAAAATTTATAAAATTTAGTTATATATTTTGCTACTATCCTATGCTACTTTTTAATTGCTTTTCAGTGCATAGAAAACATATGTATAAACGAATACGAAATATCGTAGTACAAACTTATAGACTTGACCTGCTTTAAATTTAATTCAAAACAGTATGATATTCTTGAGAGTAGCTAATTATTAATGATTGCCTAGGAAATGTCTTGCAAGTGTCCGATTCGTAATACCAAATAGATCTCAAGTATGTTAAGTCGCTAACTTTTCCCACTCCTCAGCTCTATATAGGCGGTCGTAATGCGGCAGGACAAAGACACGGCAGAGGTTGGGCTATCCTGCCCAATGGCGATCAGTATGATGGGAACTACCGGAAGGGCCGCCGCCACGGAATCGGGCTTTACGTGTTCAAGGACGGATCAAGGTACTACGGGCAGTACCGCTGTGGCAAGCGCTGTGGGCGTGGCATCTTCATCTATCCGGATGGATCTGTGTACGAGGGCAACTGGCGCAAACACTTAAAGCACGGCAAGGGGCGGTACAACTACGTGAATGGGGACACCTATTCAGGCGACTGGTTCAAGGGTCAACGACATGGGGTGGGAATCTATCGCTTTAATAATGGCACGGATGCCTGTTGCTTATCCGTAAGAATGAAGGCCACCTGGAACAGCAACATGCGAACGGGTCCCTTCGAGCTGTACATCGGGAACGAAGACAACTGCACCATTCTACACGGAATTTGGGACTCATTATATCCGAGTGGACCGGCCGTGTTCAGTTTTAACAACCGGTACATGCTGCTGGGCTATTTCCTGCCCGCAAACTACAACTTTAGGGCGATCGGCAACGATGATCAGATGGAGGACATTGAGGAGCAGTTGGACGACGAGCAGGGCACCGAATCGACCATGGCGCCCACTCTGTGGTTCGCCCAGGAGATCGCTGTCTACGACTTCTCACTGCTGCCACAGGAGCCGGTTCCTCTGGCCGTTTCCGACTCTGAGTTGTCCGTCTGCTCGCTATCCACTGTGCCGAGCATCCGCAGCGAGGAGAAGATAAGTTGGTACGGGGAGGGTGAAGAGGCCGAAGGCGAGGAGGGTGGCGAGATGGAGTGCTTCCCCTGTGAGTGCGATCTCACTGATCTCAGCGAGGTGGAGACGGAGAGCGAGGTGTGCAAGATCGACGCCAATCCATGTTGTATCGAAATCCTCAAGCAGCCAGAGTGCCCGAATCCTTAGGATAGTAGCTTCTTGCCCACATTATTTTGTTATTGTTATTAAACGTTTCCTGCAAGTGAAAGAATCTTAATATATTCTAAGAAAAACATAATACGAACATTTTAAGTTAGGCCATTAAATACTATAATTTACTTTCAACAATTGAGTACCTTCAGCTAGGGTAAGGAAATTCGCCAGTTCTGCTACAGTAAACATTTTATTTTTATATACTTTTTATTATGATACAATTTCATTAACATTTGTTGCTTTCATTTAAAATTCGCCTTACTCTTTTTACTTTTGATGCTTATACTCGTAATGTAATGAAATCACAAGTGAGGGTTATTATTGACATGATACCTTAGCGGTTCCAGGTGTGAGTTGATTTCAAATTAAAATTCTTTAAGCTTTGTTTTTGATCATCTTCTGGTATAGTAGTACGACCTCATCCAATACTTTCCAACGTTCAGCACTTGAATTCATATGTTTTGCTAATTAACTCTAAGTTGAATTATTGTTGTATGCCTTACCATTACTTCATATTCATGAAAATTACCTTAATATGCGGATGATTTTGATTAACTTACATCTTTACAATTTATATTTTCGTTACATTTTATTATAATTACTAATTTAAAATTTAAAAAAATCTCTAGGTGCTGGCAGGGGCTGCCTTGGGTGGAGGGGATGATGGTGACGCGTTTGCCATCTTGCTGCTATACTGACAGACATCACTGCAACTGGCGTCCAAGCTGTTAGACTCACAACTGGACTCGGATGGGGGAGTCTCACTAGACGTTCCATTGCCACATTCATCCAGGATTATGTTCAGCTTCTCTATCTTCGCCGGCATTGCAAGGCCCACAGTCGATGTCGGCGAAGTGGTCTCCACAGGATTTAGGCGGAGCATTTGGTAGGGGGCTTCGCCCTCCTTTTGCAGCTCATGGAGAGTGCTGCCGTCTTGCTGTTTGGACACTTTGTAAATGGCCGGGCAAGATTTCGAGTTCTTCACTTCGTTCGCGTCCTTCAGTTTGGGCAGCTCCTCTTGGATACCACAGGGCTTTCTTAGTGGCTGCATCTCCTGCTCTTGGTTATTGTCCTCCACGCTTATGCACTGAGACAAAGCAACTGCTGCCGCCACGGCCGCCGCATGCCCGCTGCTGCTTGCTCCTTCGGGGTTCAGATAGAGAAGCGGGGCATTGTAAAGCAGTAGCTGAGGTTCCATTTTGAAGTCGTGCTCTAGCTGCTTTTGCTGGTCAAGATTCTCATCAATGTAGTTGATGTGGATGGGTGAGGTCTGCAAATTAAGTTGCGAGCTATGCATCATATCGACGTCTGGTGGTGTATAGTAAATCGACGCCTTGCTGGCTGAGTAATTGGCAGAGAGGCGCGCTTTAATTTTTTGTATGTGCAGCTCCTTGGAGCCAGCAAAGTCCATTTGGCCTTTGAAATAGCAGTCTAGGTCTGTTAATAAGTTATTGAAATTATAAATAAGAGCAGTCTTACTAGGCATTTGTTCTAATCTTACCCTCGGCAAGGTCTTCCTCACATCGTCCGCGACAATTCTCAAAGTAGAAACTGGGCAGGTTTTCCAGCACCTTGTTTAGAGTCTGCTGTTGGTATTTGTATCCTTCCCTGAGGCGCAGCACCTGGTGGGCACTAAACTTCCGGATTTTGTTCCTTTGGAAGACATAGTTTTCTCGCACCCAGCTCAACTGGCCAGTTGAGTAGTCGCGCACCTTCTTTACCTGATCATAGTATTGGTCCTTCAGCGTAGTAAGATGATTAGAGCCTATATCGCGGAACTCTCGGATGTGCTTGGCCTGGCTGGTGTAACTGCTCTGAATCCATTCCACCTGCTGGGCGCAATTCTCCCGGATGCGGTGCACTTGCTGGGCGTAGTTTTCGCGCAGTCTCTCCAGCTGCAGACTTTTGTAGGTTTCAATGCTGTCTAGCATGGCGTATATTTGACGTGGCCGCGGGGACTTCTTGTTTCGATTGACGCAGCAGTAGAAGCGATTGCATATTCCCCAGCGTGACAAGCAGCTTCTCAGTCCCTGTACCATCAGGGTTAGTAGCAGGAATGCTGTAGCCAAAGCCGTGCCAAACAGTATGCTGCCGATCTTCACCCGGTAGAACACAATAGGATCGATGTACAGTCTGGAAACAGGGATAGTTTAATATTAAGGTAAATTGATTGCTTGTAGTCTTACCGTAATACTGCCGAGGCCTTGCCCATCACATTGAAGGCATAACATGTGTACATGCCACTGTCAATTCTGGAAATATTGTGCACCAGCAGCGATCCGTTCTCCACCAGTACCACACGCTGACCCACTAAGTTCTGCTGACGTGTCAAGTTCAGGGACTGGATGTAACTCTCGTCCATCAGGGCAGCCAGCTCCTTCGCGCTCGGTGGCTGGTGAGCTTCCTCCTTACTATCGATTATAATCGGCCGCTTGTCAGGATCAGCATGGTGCCGCAAAATTTTAAAGCGGGGAGTAACCTAATAAAAGTCATACTATTAACCCTGGCAATAAAAACCTTAAGACTTATGCTAAACCAGTAAACAATGAATTGTGTCATTTCTATAGATACATAAGTAACATATTGTACACAGCTAGTCAAACAAAAACAGTTCTCAGCCAGGTTCAAAGCTGGTTACGACCGCACCTTCAACATACAAAAATTCTGATATCAGCTTTTGTGACGAAAATGTATTATACGATCCACTTTCTAAATTTTTCCCATTCGTTACGTTCCAATACAATATGCCTGCGTAGGCTAGAAGATGTACAATTTTGATGAAGCGTGACGATTGGGAAAAATTTAGAGTTTATTCACAAAAGTTGATATCAGAACTTTTGTATGTTGAAGGTACGGTCGTCACTAGCTTTTTACCCCGTTAAGAGGTTTTTTTGTTTGATATCAGAAGTTTTGGAAAAGTTTTTTGATTTCACAGTGTTAGTTTTCAAATTATTATACCTCAATACCATGAACAGAAATCGTCCCCATATAACTTCGTTTATATGTACATATAATAATATAAAAGCTTCTAGCCACGCGGTTATTTTCTATTGTAGTAAGAGGAATAAAAAATTTTAGAAAGTGTATTTATTAATTTAAAATAATTGTTTTTCACAAATGTTGATATCAAAGCTGTTCTTCGCTGAAGGTGCGATTGTCATTTTGTTTTAACCTCGTAAAAAGGTATTATGTTTGATCTATCAAAAACGAAGGAATCTTAAGAGCTATATAGTTCTAAATTCCAAAAGAAATCTGGCTGGTTGTGCGATACCTTTCGATTGGTGTATCACTCGTTTTGATCGTACCATCACAGATTTTCATTTCTTCGTGTTACGGCTCGAGGGACTCGACTATACTGATCTTTCTTGTTTTTAATCAAGATACTATGGTATCAGGGCAAATTACGTTAAAAAAAAGCGTCCATTGAACCTAAAACCAACTGTAGCTGTAAATGTAGCTGTTTATTGGGCTGGGTTTTCCCAAGTTGTAGAAGTAAAGTTTAACAGTGTTAAATACATTTTAAATGATTCCATGACCCTAAAATAGAGTTTGGACACGCACAAACAAAATTCACCGTTCAGGCAGCGTTTGTTGTCCGAAACTGGTAAAAGTGTCCATTTATGTTGAATTATCATTTTCAAGCCTTGACAATGTCAAAAGCTCACACAGAAATCGTTAGGGCAAAAAAGGGCAAGTTACTACAAGGAGGCGTGCATAGTATTTCAAATACCTATTCAACGACATATATCAGAAGTCTGTACAGTTAGTAGTTCAGAGTGGTTTTCTCGACAAACTATTGCGTTTTTCCAAAAGTGGTAGTACTAAAGTTTTTTGTGTCGAGCCATTCAAATGTATTCAGGACGATTTAGAACGTTTTGGGACAAACTATCATAAAAAACAAAATTTTCATTTTGAAACGTTCCCAAAATTCTTGTTTCGGAGTGTCAGATTTTAACATTTTTTTGTGTATGTATAGTAGTTGCGTATGCACACTTTCCTGTTGGCCTTTGTCACTCATGGACTGCTGTCCTCAGTGATAAAGAAATGATGTATTATTTTTCTCTATATTCCCTCTTAACATTATTCTATATAAATCCAAAGAAGAATTTAAGCATGCAAATCCAGTTTAGGAAATCAAGTAACTAATATTACATTTACAAGTTTTTGTCATATTAAGGGGAGATTTCCGTCCAGCGCGATGTATAAATCGACTTTTTTATTGTCTAATTTTATATTTTATACTTTTAGGAATGCGTACAAGAAAAATTATTATGAGACCGAGCGAGCAATACTGAGCAAAACTACCTTTAAGTACGCTTTTCTCGAAACCGCGTTTTCCAAAACTACGTACCTTGTACTATATTAAAGCTTAGATACAAATGTATTAGCTTGAATGGTTTCAATATCAATTCCAAATCAATGAAGTAGAAACTGGGGATTTAAAGTCTTTTAAATGTTAGGCTATGGTTGGATTTGAGCAACATTCAAAATTAAATACCATTTACGATTTTACAAGCGTTCACATGGACAAACATACGCATATAGTTAGACCAACTCGGCTACTGATCCTGATCAAGAAGATATATACTATACTGTATATACTTTAAAGGGTCCATTTCGATTTTTTTTCGATAAACAAACAATTAGTTTTATTTCACTTTCACCCATTTTAAAAAAAGCTACTGTTCACAATTGCACATCCCGCAACGGCGCCAACTAGGACCATTTTCTTTATTTGTCACATCCCAACTTTCTAGCTTTTATAGTTTCCGAGATCTCAGCGCTCATTCGGACGAACGGACAGACGGACATGGCTAGATCGACTCGGCTGGTAATGCTGATCAAGAATATATATTCTTTATGGGGTCGATAACGCTTTCTTATATTTGTTACATACTTTTTAGCGAATGCAATACATATATTTACTCTAAGAGTAAGAGAGAGTATTTGGTATAAATATTTAGTTACGTACACTGTATACACCCTACATTTAAATCTTTATAATGTACACGAGCTGGAGTCCTTAGCTCAAAGGCATAGAGGCAAAGAGGTCAATAGCCAATATTTTACTTGGTTTTGAATCTTAAGGTAGCTTTAATAAATTATTTTCATAAAAATAAATTGAGTCCAACCCATATGGGGAATGAACAGGCTTTATACTCACCCATATGATGTCTGGTACTGGACTGCCAGAAATTTGGCACTCCAGCTTGGCCGTGGAGAGGAGCTTGTGCATCTTGGGCTCTGAGAACTGCACCACCGAGGGCACCGAGCAGTTGAGATTGCTCAGCACGCGAAGCATATCGCCGGGATAGCCGTACTGACACTTCAGTGCATCGATTTGGGTGTCGATGCTCTCGTACGAGTCAAGCGGAGTCTGGCTGGGACTAGCATTGTTAGTCTGTGCCTGGGGCGGCAAATGGCGCAGGCTAGTGCTGGTATTAGCCAGCCAGGCGGTCAGCCAATACATGCTGCAGTCGCACTGATACTCGTTTCCCAAGATATTGAGGTAGTGCAGCTGTCTGAGCTCCTTGATGCCTTCTGGCAACGATCCCAAGCTATTCCCACGGACACTGAGTCGCTGCAGTCGTGACAGCCCTGAGATCTGGGTGGGCAGCTGAAGCAATCCATTTTCTGCTAGCAGCAGCTCCCTTATATTGGGAGTATTGGCGAACAGTGTGGCGGGTAACCGAGTTAGTTGCCTGTTCTGCTGCAAGGAAAGGTAACGCAAGCGATGAAGAACCTGCGGGTCCACAAGCGACTCATCATAACGCGAAATCCAGTTGGAAAACTGCTCAATGGGCGTATCATCGATGCGTAGCAACACCAGAGAGCGCTGCCTCTGAAACAATCCGCTAGGTAGTTGCTTGAACTGATTCCGACTGAGATCCAACTGCCTGAGGGCATGCAGCGACTGGAAGATGATGGAAGACAGCAGGGTCAGGTTGTTGCCGGATACGTTCAGCGCCAGCAACTGGTCCAAGGACTCGAAAGCCTTGCGATCGATGATGGTCAGAGAGTTCTGGCTAAGGTCCAACTGCCGCAGTTCGCGCAGACTGTACAGGCTGTGCTTGCCGATGGACTTAAGCTGATTTCGTTGCAAGTGCAGCTGACGGAGCTGCCCGTTGCGGGCAAAAAAGTTGTCCGGAAAGGAGAGCAGGCGGTTATCGCTGAGGTCCAACACTTGAAGGTCGCGTGCTGTTTGGAAAAGCTGGAATGGCAGGACGCTCAACCGGTTTCCGGAGAGATAGAGCCGCTCCAACTTAAGGGCTCCTACAAAAATATCCCGAGGAAGCTCTGTCAGCAAATTCTGGCTGAGATTCAGCATGCGCAGTTCGCTGAGCTCGCCCAGGAAGCGCTGCGGTAAGGAGCTTATCTCATTCCTGTCCAAGTAAAGCTCCTCCAGTTGCTTCATGTGCTGCAAGTTCACAAGTCTGCAGTTGGACAGCCGATTACCACTCATTTTAAGTACTTTCAGGCGACGCGTGACCTGCGGAACGACCCAATGGAGACACTCTAAGTGGTTCTCAACAAGATTCAGCCTTTCCATGTACTCGAAGCAGTGCGGTTGGCGAGTGAAGAGCTCCCTGAGAGGCTCATCTTTTAGGTTACTGTCCTGCCAGGAGAACTCTCTGACGCTCTCGTTCTGCGGCAGCTTCAGGGGATTACTGATATCCGCAGGCACATGGACCAGCATCAGCTGGTGGTAGTTGATGAGCGAACTCCGCGGAGAGAGAATCTCCTGGTTCACTTGCCACAGGCCCACATGCTCGCACTTCAGCTTGAACACATTGGCCTTGGGATCCACTTCACCAATCGCAGAGAGTTCATGCTCTTCTACCTCCACGCTCTCCGATCCGGCGTCCAGGCCGTCCAGCCACAGACCCTCATCACTGTCACTATCATCTAGATCCGAGTCCACTGCATGTCCCACGAACGGCAGGTGGAACTTGTAGCCCAGCAAGGAGAACTCTTGCTCCTGCCAGATCCTGGTCCTGGGCCTGGTCTGCGGACGATGCTGCTGAGGGGTTTGGGCTAGTAACGCCTCAGCGCTACTGTATGTGGCCTGACAGTATGTGCTGTCGCCACTAATGGCCACTGCGGCGTTGACCACGACGAACAAGGCACACAATATCAGGGGAATCTTCGATATTGCTTCCATTTTCCAGTATGTAATCTCAAATATTTATACGGTCGCATAGTACACCTGCAAGATTCGAACGACAGAGAATTATACAATTATATTTTTCCAATGTTATAATGTGTGATATTTGTTATTCGATTTCTTTTTAAGTGCTCAAATTGTATTTTTTATATCTTAATAATCACAGTGATTGTCCCATTTATGGCTTAGATCCAAAAAATTCCGGGCACAAAAACATCAATCAGACCCCTTATGGTTTTTGGTCATTATTGATTTTTGCTAGCACCCTTCCGAAACAAAAAAAAAAAAACTGTCGCAACTCTGACTTTTTCGGGAGAACGGGAAAATGAGCAAGAAAATGGCGACGTTGCGTTCTCATGCAACGAAGATTTAGAACTTTACGACATGCGAAGAAACAATTTTTTGTGTGAACTAAAATCTAAGAGGAAAATTTTGAATAACTGAACTTAAATAAATAAATAATGAAATAAGGTATTAAAAAAAGGTCGAGGGTAACAAACTATTTAGATCATGTTTATTTTTACTTTTCTTCTATTAAAAACACTCGGCACATTAATATATATGACGGGAATTACTTTCCCCTATGAATAGGAAAGCTCCCAATATAATCTACCATATATTTTAATTTACCTCTCATTTGTTTATAAACAGAAATATTGAATGAAATGCCGCCCAGCAACCGCAACCTGCATCAACAAAGCAATTACGTTCTGCTGATTTCAGTTCCCAAGATTATTACTCAATGGGTAGAAGTCGAAAGACGGGGAAACTATTAAAGGAATTTATTTTATATTGCCTTCCCTGTGTCGAGTGACTGACCCGATGCCACGTCGAACATATAGAAAATAGAAGCATTTATATTTGTTATTAATGACCAGCTGTTGGGGGAAGGCTGATAACAGCCAACGAACTCATAAAGTTGATAAGTCGGGGACTTGCGAAAGTGATCAAGATGGATGGGTGTATGGGTTCACAGTGATCACAGTTCTCAACGAAATTAATTCTTAGTCAATATTGTTATTGATGGCAAATATTTAACCCTACAATTCTGATTGTGTGCAAATTTCACACCTCAAATACATACATATGTAGCAAAAATCTGGCAAAAACTGCTTGAACGAAAAAAAATACAAAAAAAAAACGAAAAACCGATACAAAAATAGCCCAACACACAGACAAATAGCAATACAAACACTCAAGTCGAAAAAACTGCCACGAATATAAGACCATAATTAAATTAGTTGGCTCAAAAAGCGAGGAAGTAGTTACCGAAATGGAGTGCAAGTGCCACCAGTTAATAAAGGCTGTGGCTCTTCGCTCGATATCAATCGAAACATGACCGACCGCTGATGGCGCAAATAAGCAAGTTATTCGAGGGAACCTTTGTTGTTGGACAAATGATTAATTTAAGTGTCGTTTCCATTGAGCCAAGGAATCGGAGACGACCGAGAGAGAGGGAGATAGAGTGGGTTGCATAATCTGTAATAGAACCTAAGCTCTAAACAGGGCAAAAACAACCGTTTAACTGCGGATTCAATGTACATATATTAAGTATGTATGTATATCTAAACACACTCTCACACACACAGGTAACGCCTGCTGACGTCTGAAAAGCCGCTAATGAGACAGGCGGGCACGAAAATACCAATTAGCTGAGATTCTTTTCTTCCGGAGCGTAGAATCATTCACCAAATGGAGATTTCCGCCCTCTCATAATTCATTCAACACCTTTTCGTCTCCTTTACCTTGGATCTCATCCCAAGGGTGTAACTATGTGCAAGATGCAGCGAAGATGTTGCCAAGGGCAACGGTTGTGACTTCGATGCGGATATTACCGATGGAGAATCGCACTTTTAACGTGCAGCTGCGAACTACATATATAACCACCGAAACTTCTGGTTTTATTTTTTCTTCACCCTTTGTGGCTGAAGTAGACTTTTCTACGCACACACTCGCACCTGTCCTACATCAGACTTTTCATTTGGCCCAATCGAAAGATTGCAACCCACTATTCATGGCTACATTTTAGCCACTCAAGTAAAATGTTATTTTTTCCATTTCATATATTTTAAATATTATCTCACCGTTGTTTATATTCTATGCATCTTCTCGCGTCTTTTTTCGTCTTGGCTGCAGTGTGACCGTAGATGAAACGTTTAAGCACATCAACGGCACATTAAAAAACGTCCTAAAATAAACCGACTGTTCGTTTGAAAGCGCCATAAAACATACCAACAACCAGTGTTGCGCAGTGACAAATCCATATACTGATTTAAAAAAAAAAAAAATAACGTCTTTATTTAATTGTTTAATAAATACTGTTGTTTTTGGGTTGGTGTTTCAGTATTGTAACAACAAAATACGTTGTTAAAGAGTCAAATTATCATATTTCTTTGCGAACATTTTGCGATATGAGCTGATTGTATAGTTCAATTAGCGACTTCTTTCAACCGAAAATTAAATCGATTGGACAAACATTTCTGTGATATAAAATTAAAAACATTAAAGAACCCTTAAAAAAGTATGTGTCACAGTAAAACGTAGATGAATTATGCAATTCGTGTCCATGTTTTAAAACAAAAGTTTAATCCCCGTCATCTAGCTATGGTACCTCTTACGATGATGCGAATCCTTTACTTTTATGTCCGATCGAGAAATCTCAAGTTTTGTGAAAATTTAACTTGTTTTTTTGTTCACAGGGTTAATTGCAGAGTTATGGAAATTCAGAACCCTAATAGAAAAAGGCACTTTTGGGTTCTTTTGATTTACATTAATGTATTTAGTTTTAAGATATAACCACAGTTATCGCTCAGTAATTATCATTTAAATAATGGCATTCAGAATGCTAAAATTAAACTACAAATCTTTTAAAATGTACTTGGATCGCTGTTGGACCGCTTGCATATAGGCAGATGCAGGGATCGACAACGAAATTTGTGATATTTCTAGGACTTAGAGACTAGGCTAATTTTATAATCCTATATAGCTGCCTTTGCTAATCATTCTCTACTCGTACCGAATTACATATATATTTGCTCTTCTTCTCGAACGACCACACTGGGCTCGTTACACCGACAACTAAACTCTAAACTTAAAATACTATTTACACTTGGTGGTCTGGTCCAGCAGCTTTTTCCACAGATCGAATTGTTCGTTCGACTTGATCATGTGCACGCTGATAGCGTTGCGGATGTTGCACGGGTTGAATGAGATGCGCCGGTTGACAAACTCGTTCGCCTGTACCCGCTTGATATTCAGGCTCTTCGCCACGATGCCCGTGGTAAACACATCCTCCAGCTTCAGATACACAGTCTTCAGCGATCGTACATACAGCTCGTGTACAATGTCTCCGGTTAGAACGTAAGCCGGTCCAGTGGTGAAGGAAGGAAACACTCCCGCCGCAAACTGGTCTACAGACACATAGTATTTTGACTTTTTGTTGCGGATCGGTTTCCACTTTTTGGCTAGGCGACCGTATATGGTTCGCTTGTCCTTGTGTTTGTCGAGGAAGGTCAGCAGCTTGGGCACATTGATGAACATGTCATCGTCCGTCTTGAGGATGTACTTTGCCTTCGGGCAGTGCAGATCTGCCCATTCCAACGTCGAGATGGTCTTGAGTGTGAGGTTGTTGTACGAGTCTATGAAGTTTCCCCGAATCAGATCGCCGTAGATAAAGTTCTCCTGGGTAAGAGCCTTGTTCAGCGTTTCATTAGTGCCACGACCCAAAACAAATGCCATGCCCACATCCCTTCTGCTTCCATAGTGCATCCACGTCTGTCGAATGGACATTCGGGCTGCCTCATGAGACATCGCGGAGCTAATAAGAACCAGAAGCTTAACGAATTCTCCGCCTCTTGGACAGATGCGCTGCGCATCGATTTCCTCGTCCAAGTGGCCTGGCTCGTAGAGCTTCTCGGTCGCCACTCCCTTTGATGGATCCACGGGAGCAACTGGGGCCTTGGCCACGCTCTTGCCCTTTGTCGTTTTTACAATGGGCACAGGTGGTCTGGCGGATTTCGGTGGTGGAACTGCAGCCTCTTTCTTTCCATCCTTAATTTCCTGTATCACCTTAGATTCCAGCTCCTGCTTTTCGGAGTCCGGAGACACTTCCAGCTTGCCGTCCACCAAATTTAGTTGTGCCGTATCTGGTTGATTTCCTTTATCTAAAAAGAGAAACCAGACTATTAGAGCTTGTAGACGTAATAGAAGTACAAATAAAGACTCAAGTGAATTCTAATTCGTCCCATAAACATATGTTCGACAGTAATCCGATAGTACAAAATAATGCACAATGGTATACAAAGCTTCCATAATGAAACGTGATACCTGGCTATATAGCAAACGTATTATGCGCCATTGCCATAGAGCTACACAGATAGGCGCGCCGTCAGCGGGTCTTTGTCTGTACAAATGTTTGCTTTTGGAGGGGTTTTATATCCGTATGTATCCAAATACAGGGATCGTTAATAACAACACTTCGCATTAATTGATATAAAAATATGTGTGCGAGTTAAAAGTATAAATGTTCTTTGATTTGTGCGAAAATTAGTTAGTTTTAATCAGGGTCTTTGATATGCTCTATCTATCCTACAACTAATAGAGGTATATCTACCGGTGTTTTGGTCAGTTCCGGTTGCCGGGACAGCAGCTCCGTTGCCCGTGCTACTGTTCGTCGTAATGTTCTTCAATATCTTATCGGCATTCTCGATAAACTTTTGCAAATTGGAAGTGGGTATGAGGAGCTCCGCATCGGAAAGCACTGGCTGCGCCTGCGACTGTTGCTGTTGTGGTGATTGCGCGGGAATCGATTGTTTAACAACCAACGTGTCTGCAGAGCTATTGTTGTTGGAACTGCTGTTGATGTTTCCTGTGGAAGATGCGACTCATTAGCTTAATTAGCCTTAGAAAGCCATCACTCCCCCTTACCGGTGATGCCATCAACGCTCTGGCCGTACTGTTGCTCTTCCAGCAGCTCATCCGCCATGGCATTGGGCGTCTGCTCAGCGCCACCCACCTGGGGACTGGCTCCGGCAGAGCCGCCATCGAGCAGTGCGTCCTCATCGATGGTGGGCAGCCGATGTTGCGGATGCTTCTTGTGGATCTCCGCCGGTTGTTGCTGCTGTTGTTGTTGTTGCTGTTGTTGCGACTGTCTGCTGGATATCTTGGCCGTACTTTCTCCGCTAGCAGGCGGGCTGTACTCTTTCTCAGTGTTATTGACTTGGTCCATAGGCTGGCGGCCGGGATGACCACCAATCAGCTGCTGAGCCGGCGACGGTGCCGAATGCAAACGGTTTGCTGTTATGCCTCCCGCCGTCGAGTATGTGGCGTAGATGAAAATGGTGAGGACCACCACGATTAGGACTAAAAGAAAGCGCAGGATGCGCGTGTTATGCAGGTTGCCCACGGCCGCCATGGTGGGACTTGACAAATCTCGCAAATATCAATCAGTCTCGGTCTCAGTTTCAGTCTGGACTGCGCTTCTCTCTTGTTTGATTCTCGTTCTTTGATTTTTGGATTGCAGGTTCTGCTTCTTGCCGTCAATCGGTGAGTATTGTGATAACGATGCCCTGGACGCTTGCAAGCCTGGCGACGACTGCGGTGTAACTGCAATGAGAACAAAACGAATATGTAGGTAAGCAACTGATTCAGCCGATTTGTTAAGTGCTCCCATTACCCGGTACACTCTGGGGACAGATATACACTTTGCTTAGGTCTTGATTGGGGGAGAGAGTGAGAAAAGGGATATCTCTCCCAGTTATGATTATTTTTGATAAATTTGTAAAAAAAATATTGGATTTTACAAATTATTAGCACCTCAAAACCCTTAAATAAAATCGATCAGCTTATAAACGAAATATTTTGTTCTCCCCATATGGTATATGGTATTTCACAGTCGATTCAATAACTACTCTGCTTAGTTGTTTTCGTTACCATTGGCGAGGAAAAATGCAAATATTTGCGAGTGAGTGGAGTAACTTGCACAAAAAGATAACGTTTTTGTATGCTTTCAGAATTGTTTAAAAAAGCAAACTTACATTGCATTTACGTTAGAACTCATGGTAAGCTTTTTTGTTTTACCATTTGGCGTTGTTATATTTATTGAAATTGTTATAAAACTTTTTTTCAGGACCTTTAAAAAGGCTAATAAAGTTTGGAGTTTCTAGATTTTATTGTGGATCCGTTTTGAGCATTCTTTAATAAGGTTAATGCCAATAAATACAGATTGATCGCTTTTTATTACAGCTACGCCTTGCCTAGTTTGGGATTTAAGTTCTAAAGTGCCATTTAAGCAATTTTATTTGGGAAACACTAGTAAAAAGCTTAACTGATTTGCGCGGTAATGGGAGTGACGAACTGGGAAGCACTTGGGAAGTTTCCGTGAACTAATGAATTCCCAGAAAGAGGAGAACACGCACAGCATCCAGAATTGTCACGACATAGCTCTTGGCTCTTATCCACTTTGCATGCGACTCGAACAAGTCAACAGTAATCTTGACCCGATTGGAGACTGAGGAGAAACCCAACCGAGACAGAACAGAAACACAACGTCGGCCAGACTCTTGACCAGAACCTCCGGAGTTACTTGACTTGTCATGCTGTGGCCGGCTGGACGATAAGATTGCTTATCGGGCGATCCCATTTGGGTGTTTCAGGGCTTTCTTGGAATCAGATAGGGTCCACATTTAGTAGTAGTAGAGGTAGATTTAATCGGTACTTTACTTGTCTGGCATAAAAATAGAACCAGTGGGTTGTGACAGTTCGATATGAAAATCAATAAAACAGAAGGGCAGGCACTCGTTACTATTTTAACAACATTATATTTGGCCGCAAACAATCTTGAATAGTCAATGAAAATCCCCAATGCGTCACTGATAGTAAGTGGGCTATCTTAATTGTTTGTCGATAAGGTAGTTATTATATACTATAAAATTACCTCACTTATATTATCTGTCTGTGGTCTAGCCGAGAATGGTAAGCCTTTATCTGATATCTCAATATTTGTAAAGATAACCTTGTAAGTTAATTATGAATTAGTACTTTTTTATTAATATATAGCTAACTTAAAATGTTAAGCTATGAGCAAACTTATCATTAGAGCGCTAGCAACTAAGGCTTCCGGCTCGTGTGAGTTCGATCGATTGTTTATTTTTAGTTTAAGACAACTTTCTTAAATTTTTTGCGATAAAT